GGTTGCTGTGAGCAGGCTGACGCCACGGGCACGGTCACTCTAGCCTGGGCAACAAAGCGAGGCACTCTTCTCAAAAAAAAAAAAAAAAAAAGAAAACAAGATCTGAGTGCTGGATGTGTTCATTGCTACTGAGGTGTCATTGCTTCTAGACCCTTTCAATGGACAAAGCTAGGAAATATATATTAATATATGTGTGAGTGTGTATGTATATTTTTTAACACATTGCCACACTAGAAAAAAAATTCTCTCCCTGGGGCCACGGTGTTTTATTAAAACAAAATGATCGTTTCTAATTTGTTATTTTTTATTGTTTTCTGTGAGTTATATGCAACACAACCCACATTTTTAGAATTAAATTGTCAAAGAAATTGTAATAAGAACATCAACAAGGCTGGGCACGGTGGCTCACGTCTGTAATCCTAGCACTTTGGGAGGCCGAGGCGGGTGGATCGTTTGAGCTCAGGAGTTCGAGACCAACCTGAGCAAGAGCGAGACCCCGTCTCTACTATAACTAGAAATAAATTAATTGGCCAACTAACATATATAGAAAAAATTAGCCGGGCATGGTGGCACATGCCTGTAGTCCCAGCTACCCGGGAGGCTGAGGCAGAAGGATCACTCGAGCCCAGGAGTTTGAGGTTGCTGTGAGCTAGGCTGACACCACGACACTCACTCTAGCCTGGGCAACAAAGTGAGACTCTGTCTCAAAAAAAAAAAAAAAAAACATCAACAAGAATTTCATGAATCAACTGCAGGGTCTTGCTTCACAAGGCCCTGGGACTAAAACTAGCCTGAGTTAAATACAACTCACATGGCAGTCAATGTGTTAAAGAACTCAGGAGCTGATACTGAAGGCTCCAATTACAGTACAATGTCACTATTCTTTCTCACCTTCTCTCATTCCACACTGAGAATTCTGATATATTTACTCATTTGTTTAACCAGATAGAGTCTACCTTAAAGTATACCCAAAATAGCTTCACACTCACCTCATCACTATTATTAACAACATACATACTAAGAGTAAAGCTAATTATTATTATTATTTTGAAATGAGGTCTCACTATATCACCACTGTATCACCCAAGCTGGTCTTGAATTCCTGAGCTCAAGCAGTCCTCCCATCTCCACCTCTCTTGTAGCTGGGACTACAGGTGTGAGCCCCTGCACCTGCTGAGCCAATTTTTTTTTTTATCCTTAGAATATATGCCACAAAGGAAGTACAGTAAGACAGCTAAATTTAAAAAGGCACTGAATTATTTTCTCTGTGTGGTTTTGTTATAAATTGGATATGTAGTTAGGCCTATTTAGGTTTTTTGTTTGCTTTGAGATAGGGTCTCACTTCTGTTGCCTGGGCTATCATCATAGCTCACTGCAACCTTGAACTCCTGGGCTCAAGCGATCCTCTTGCCTCAGCCTCCTGAGTAGCTGGGACTACAGATGTGTGTCACATCTACTTGGCTGATTTTTTTTTTTTCATTTTTTAAGAGATGGGTCTTTCTATGTTGCCCAGGCTGGTCTCCAACTCCTAGGGTCAAACAATCCTCTCACCTTAGACTCCTGAGTAGCCTGAATAACAGATATGAGCCACCATGCCTGGCCTAGTTTTGTTTGTATTCAATTATAGCATTTGATTTTGCTACTCTTTCAAATTTAATTTTTAAACCATGTAAAATATTTACATGGTTCAAAAGTCTAAACTACATAAAAAGGCATATTCCAAGAAATCCCATACCCATTTCAACCCCCTATAGTTGCCCATTTTAATTAGTTTCTGGTTTACCCTTCCTGTTTTGTTTTGTTTTGTTTTTTTTAGTAAGCATATGTGTCTGTGAGAGTGTGTGTGTGTCCTTTTCCCTCTGCTTCTTTCACATACTATATCCTGGAAATAATTTCATTTCTCGTTAGAGAATTTCATTCTTTTTTATGGCTGCATGAGACTACTGTGTGGATATACTGTCGTTTATTTTTCCAGTCTCCTGCTGATGGACATATACATTGTGTCCAATAGTTTTGTATTACCAATTATGTTACAGTGAATAACCCCATGTATATATTGTTTCCTATTTGTGAAATAAATCTTACATGCAGGTTGCTGGGTCCCAGACAAATCACAGAGTTTTGTAATTCCTTAGTAATCTGTTTCATTCAATAAGCAACAAACTACCTGCATACACAGTACTGTCCTAAGTGCTGGAGATACAGCATTGAACAAAAGAAAAGATACCAGAGACAATATCAACAATAAAATGAACAAAACAAGAATATAATTTCAGACTAGTAGAAATACTATGCAGCAAATTGAAATGGGCAAATGTGATGAAGAGTGCCTAGGAGTACTGAGATACATTGGTGATCTCAAAGGCCTCTTAGAGGGGACATTGGAGTCCAGATCCTAATAACAAGAAGCTAGCCATGGGAAAGTTTGGGGACAGAATCTTACAAATAGAAGAGTAAGTGCAGGCGGGGCGTGGTGGCTCACGCTTGTAATCCTAGCACTTTGGGAGGCCGAGGCGGGCGGATTGCTCGAGGTTAGGAGTTCGAAACCACCCTGAGCAAGAGCGAGACCCCCGTCTCTACTATAAATAGAAAGAAATTAATTGGCCAACTAATATATATAGAAAAAATTAGCCGGGCATGGTGGCGCATGCCTGTAGTCCCAGCTACTCGGGAGGCTAAGGCAGCAGGATTGCTTGAGCCCAGGAGATTGAGGTTGCTGTGAGCTAGGCTGATGCCACGGCACTCACTCTAGCCTGGGCAACAAAGCCAGACTCTGTCTCAAAAAAAAAAAAAAAGGAAAGAAAGAAAAAAAAGAAGAGTAAGTGCAAAGGGCTGGGGGCAGGCCACCCTTGGTTGGGAACAGAGAGTAGGCCCCAGATAGAGAATGAGGGAGCAGGTAGGTGGGGAAAGAGGGTGAAGAAGGAGCTGTGAGCCAGGTCTCATTGAGTTTTATAACATATAGCAAGGAGTCTTGATTTGACTGCAAGTGCAAAGGGAAATAATCTTAGGGTTTTAAGCAGGGATGTGATCTGACGAGATTTATATTAGAAATTAAAAACTCATTCTTCTGTGTAGAGGGGCAAGTGTAGAGGAAAATCTACAGTTAAGAAGCTGTTGAAGGAGTTCACCACGGAGAGATAGTAGCTTCCATTAGGGACTAGCGGTGGAGAGAGAGAGAAGTGGGCTGATGTAGGTAGGGTCTATTTTGAGGAGAGATTTGACAGGATTTGTTGATATAGTTTAGCATTTAATCCTTTCTTATGATTACAAAGGAGGAAAACAGAAAACCAACACAACCACCCTCAGAAATTTCATGTCACTTTATAAACTTTTTTTTTTTTTTTTTTTTTTTTTTATTTTTTTTTATTTTTTTTTTTTTTTTTTGAGACAGAGTCTCGCTTTGTTGCCCAGGCTAGAGTGAGTGCCATGGCGTCAGCCTAGCTCACAGCAACCTCAAACTCCTGGCTCAAGCAATCCTCCTGCCTCAGCCTCCCGAGTAGCTGGGACTACAGGCATTCACCACCATGCCCGGCTAATTTTTTGTATATATATTAGTTGGCCAATTAATTTCTTTCTATTTATAGTAGAGACGGGGTCTTGCTCTTGCTCAGGCTGGTTTAGAACTCCTGACCTTGAGCAATCCGCCCGCCTCGGCCTCCCAGAGAGCTAGGATTACAGGCGTGAGCCACCGCGCCCGGCCTACTTTATAAACTTTTGATTGTAAAAGGTCACTTTTGAAAAACTGGGTGTGGGAGGGTACACAAAAAGGAAATTAAAATCACCCACAATCCCACCACTCAGAGATCAAGAGTATTTACATATTGGTGTATTGCTCTAGGATTTCTCCGCCCGTGTATCGTTATTTACTAAAGTGGCATCTTCATGACTAGCATTGTAGTCTGCCTTTTCAGGTATCTTATTAGACCTGCCCTCAACGCCAGCACTTTCGCTCCGGTAGTGTCACTTCTCACCTCCATAGGTGCAGGCCCCCCCCCACACACACACACAGCCCACTCTAAAATGCTAATCTGACCGGTTCACCGTCCCCTGTGTGAACTAAAATGCTCAACCCCTACCGGCTGACTGAATGGACCCCCTCGTGGCCAGAGGAATATTCAAGGGCAAAGTTGCCTGTCAGGAAGAGGGAGGTCAGACAGACCTTATCATGCCCCCCTCCCTTCTTGGAGACTTCCTTTGTAACCCATTAACAGGCCTAAGGGTATGCAAGACAAACCTGCAGGCCCTCAATTTGCAACAAAATGGTGGCTTATTTCTGGTAAACAGTTTGTTAAAACATTCCATGTCTTTAGACAAAGCTTCATGTTTTTAGCCAATTACAATCTAAAGAATCTTTAAACCCACCTATAACCTGTAAGCCCCCACTTCGAGATGGCCCTCCTTTTTGGGCCAAACCAATGTCTGCCTCCCACACATTGATTGATGGCTTTACCCATAACCCTTGTCTCTAAACTGTATAAAAACCAAACTGTAACCCAGCCACAGCGAGTCCACGTGCCCAAGGCCTCTTGGCAGTGGCTCCCGGTCATGGTCCTCAAATTTGGCTCAGAATAAATCTCTTTAAAATTATTTTGCAGACTTGGCTTTTTTCCGTTGACACCTGTAAGGCCCTTTTCGGTTGGGCAATGGTTATTCCTGGGGGGCGGGGGTGGACTACCCGACCCCGCCACCCTCCCTCCGCAAATCACCGCAGAGACGTCGTGTCACATCTTTTGGGGCTATTTGGGTCGGGGGAGAGACGGACGGGAAACCTACCGCTCACTCAAAGGCCTCACGTGAGCTCTCCAGGGTCCCTGGGGCAGGAACGGTTTGCGCAGGGGCGCTGGGGGTACATGGCGCTCTAAGGGGTGGAGCTTCGGGAGGGAGTGTTGGTTGGCTAAGTAGCCCTGGGGTCTGTGGAAACCTGTGGCAGGACTGGATGGGCAGGAGCCAGTCACGAGCCCGTTGGAATCACAAGGGGCCTGTTTGCGCAGGCGCTCTGGGTAACCGAAGTTGAGTCTCGCTCTAAAGGACTGAGCCTCGTGAGAAAACCTTAGTTTCCCCAGGATCTAAGGGCAGCAGGGCCGGCTTGGAGGGAATCGACCAGGCACTTGGAGGCCGTTTGTGCAGGCGCCCTGGAATCGCACCACGCTCAAAGGGGCAGAGTTTCTGGAGGGAACCTCGGCCTCTCTGCAGCTTACAGGGTCCCCGAGGACCTCCTCAGGGCCGGCTTGGCGGGAACTGACCACGCTCCAGGTGGCCTCGCCAGGTGCCTGCGCAGGCGCGTGTGGGTGGGGTCATGCGCGAGGGGCGGTGCTTCTGGAGGGAGGCGCAGTCTCTCAGCAGCCCACCGAGAGGGCGGAGTCGAAGGAGAGCGGCGTCAGACATGCGGGACACAGACGCAGACGCAGATGCAGACGCAGGCGGTGTGGCGGGAGGCATTGATGGCCACGGCTGCCCCGGTGGCGGGGGCACAGCGACAGCTGTGGCTGGTGAGGTTCCTCATGTCGCGCGGGCACTGCACGCCCCAAGTCCGAGCGGAGACGCTGTGCCTGTGGCCAGAAAGCCGGAAATCCAACCACACACATTGTATCCTAACGGAGGGCACAGCCAGGAAATGGCTGGGGGCTGCCTGTGGTGGGGGAGGGGCACGCTGAGGGAGAAAGAAAAGAGAGCCAGGGTGGGAGGAAGCAGGGGACTGGGGCATAGGGGTCCAGGGTGGTCGGGGAAGGGTAAGAAATAGAGAAGGGGACCAGGGACGACTGGGGACAAAGTACAGGCCAAGGGTGGCTGGGGCCGGATGAGGGGGGAAGGAATGAGAGCGGGGGAGGCAGGGGATGGCCTGGGACGTGTGGAAGCAGGACTCGGGGTGAGACTGGTTTGGGTGGCCTCAGAGAGGGATGGATGGACGACTTGAGCAAGGAGGCCTGAGACACAGGCAAAGTCGGTATCAGATGGTGCCTTTATCAAACCTCCACCAGTGCCCTCAGCGTGCCTTTCCCAACCCCTGTGGAGGCAGAAATCGCTCATGGGTCCCTGGCTCCAGATGCCGAACCCCACCGAAGGGCGGTTGGGAAGGATCTTACAGTGAGTGGCTGTATCCTGGCCGTGTAAGTTCTACAAGGGGCCGGAGTGAGGGGGAGACTGCAGGTGAGGGGGCCCGCCTCCACGGAGGGGCGCTTTGTTGGGGACTTGCAGACAACCCCGGGTTAGGTCTAAGGCTATGTTCCCAACTCCCTCGGCTGTGGACTGGTAGCAGTCTATGGTCTGTGAAAATGAAAATCTGTTGAGTCATGTCATTCAGCATTAACTACTATCAACATTTTGAAATATTTTCTCAGTTTTACGGTTGTATTTATGAAATAAATGTGTAACAGTAATATATAATGTATAATTTTTGCAAGTTTAGCGTTAAAGGGACTGGGCCACAGAGCTACACTGCTCTCTCCATTGCCTCCAACCTCCATCTGTGGAAAAATTGTCTTCCATGAAACCAGTCCTTGGTGCCAAAAAGGTTGGGGACCCCTGGTCAAAGGGGCAGGTGTGGTGCACTGGGCAGGTTTCTACCTGAGGCTCTCTGTAATAATGGGGCTCCAGAGGGTTTGGTGTAACTGACACCAGAGGGGCAGAGCAAGAAAGGCTACTTCCAACTTGATTTTCTTTTTTCCTCTCTCTTAGCCGCTGGAAAGCTGAAGACTCTCACCTACTCCGAATTTCCATTATCAACTTTCTTGACCAGCTTTCCCTGGTGGTGCAGACCATGCAGCGCTTTGGGCCCCCTGTTTCTCGCTAAGCCTAGTCTGGGAAAAGGAGGCGAGAGGTCTGACCTTGTGTCTCCTAGGAAGTGCATCGTTCTTAGGGCAATGATTCCCTGCTACTTTAGTATGGGGACCTAAGGTTTGCCTGTATCCGCTCTTGGGTGCTCAGGGTGCCCTTGTTTTGTTTGGTGCTTAAATGTTTGTTATGGCAGGAAATAAAACTGAGCTGCTATTCCAAGTCTTAGTTTATTTTCAGCTGCAGCACCTCCACATATTCTCACCATTGCCCCCCAGGTTGCAGGATTCAGATATGCAAGGTAGTACAAGGTAATTGAGGACACGTTAGGAAATGGAAGAAAATAAAAATCTGTTGGGTCATGTCATTCAGCATTAACTACTATCAACATTTTGAAATATTTCCTCAGTTTTACAGTTGTATTTATGAGATAAATGTGTAACAGTAATATGTAATGTATAATTTTTGCAAGTTTAGCATTAAAGTTTTTCCTGATTTTTAAAATAGAACATGAACTTTCCTCTTTTCTAAAAATTCTTCAGAAACATTGGGTGCATAAAAGATACATTATAACATGATACATTATAATGTGATAGAACATCTAAATTGTTTCCATTTTTTTCTGTTACAGATACTGATTCAGTAGAATTCTTTTTTTTTTTTTTTTTTTTTGAGACAGAGTCTCACTTTGTTGCCCAGGCTAGAGTGAGTGCCGTGGTGGCAGCCTTGCTCACAGCAACCTCTAACTCTTGGGCTCAAGTGATCCTCCTGCCTCAGCCTCCCAAGTAGGTGGGACTATAGGCACGCACCACCATGTCCAGCTAATTATTTTTTTTTTGGTATATATATTTTTAGTTGGCCAATTAATTTCTTTCTATTTTTGGTAGAGACAGGGGTCTGGCTCAGGCTGGTTTTGAACTCCTGAGCTTGAGCGATCCACCCGCCTTGGCCTTCCAGAGTGCTAGGATTACAGGCGTGAGCCACCGTGCCTGGCCTGATTTCGTGGAATTCTTGTATTTAAGTCTTTGTATGAATGATTATTTCCTTAACCACTTTGGTACCACACTCACCGGCTGCGAAACCTTGCCCACAGCCGGCACTCATAGTCTCCATGATAGTTTGTGCTGTGCATTGACTATGAATCCGTTTTGCTCTTGTGTGATGAGGAAAGCTTTAAAGCACTGAAAGCTTGTTTTACTTTACAGGCAGCTTTACTTGTAAATCAGAATAGGTAACATATACATATATGTTTTCATTACGTTATTTTGAAACGTTCACAAGTTTATTTTGATAAATGAAAAATTAGAAAAGTCATATCACAGCTGTCAGCTAAAGTCACCGTGCGTGTTCATCTGTGGCTATTGACTATAGTCGACGCTGGTACCAAAGTGGTTAAGAGAGATTCCAAGAGGTAGAATTACAGAGTTAAATATTTACTGTTTACTTATTTAAGGCTCTTGCTCTCCAAAAAGTGTGTCCTCCCAGCAGAATGCTGGTTTCCCACATCTCTGTCAGGGCCTGTTTCCTGTTAAAATAAAAAACCTAGTGCATATGATAATAACAGGCAACAAAGAAACATTAGCAATTTTGTGGATTATTGGCCTCATGAAGAAAAGTACTAGAACAATTGTTGGCTACAGCATTTGGGGAAAGGAGTTAGCTCTTTATAAAATATGTTGTGTCTGGCAGTCTCGTAGCAGTCTCATAGCTCTTTTGTAGATGCCATTAGATTTCCTGCATAGATGATACTGTTTGCTCAGAATAAAGGCAGCTGTGTCTCTTCCTTTCCAGTCTGGATACCTTCTAGTGATTAATTTCTCTCCTCATAATGGGTTGCATTTTCCTGTTTCTGTAGTTTTCGATTGGATGTGAGATGTTGCACCTTTTTCCTTGACTGCTGGGTATTTCTGTTTTCCTAGACATGTCCATGAGCTGTGTTTTGGGATGCTGTTAAGTTACTTGGAAACAGATTGAGACTTTTGAGTTTTGAAGATGTACTGTGTGGGACCAGAACAGCTCTTAGTACTGTAGGATTAATTTTCCCACACTACTGAGGCAAGAACCTTCTGGGCGCCCTGGCTGAGGCCTCCCAAATGAATGATGAGGTTCTTCATCCTGGCAGGTGGGGACAGCCACCAGCCCCTATTATGCTTGAGTGCTGGGCAGAGTTACCTTTCATTTTCTCTGGGGTTGAGGGGTCCTTTCCCTGGCCTCAAGTAGTTCTCTCACACACTTGCTCATTGGTGGTCTGCTGGCTACTCAGGCAGGATCCTCTGCAGCTCTTCTATCTGCTCCTCTGCCCTGCAAACTGCAGGTGCCTGGACTCTGACCCATCTCCTAAAGTCCGGGTGTCCACTAGGCTCCACCAGGAAACTCTATCCAGGCAGGAAGCTGGGCCAGTTGCAGGGCTTACCTCATTTGTCTCCCAGCTCCCTCACTGACTGGTAGCCAGCATCTCCAAAACCTGTGGTTCATATCCGTTGTCTGGTTTTGTGGGGTATTCTGAGTATATGTGTGTTGGGGGTGGTGTCAGTTCAGTCCCTGTTACTCCATATACCTGGACAGTCTGCCTTTGCAGAACTTGGAGAGCTCTGGAGGAAGAGAGATGCTGTGCGTGGTGATGGTGGTCGTGGTCTCAGTGACCATCGTGAAGATGACAAGAGTGGTGATTGAGTTTCAGCTGATGCAACATCTGATTGACTATGGCAAGGATCTTACTTGCTTTCCTCCCTCCTTCTTGCTCTCTCTTTCCTTTCTCTATTTTCCTTTCTTTCTCGATTGATATTTTTTAGACTTTATTGATGGATACTTGAGAATTTACAACACTGTCTGCTTCCCCTCCTCACTTTCTTGTGTTTCTATTAGATTCTATCAATTTCTGAGGGATTCTCCCCAATTAAAGATGGCCTGGGGGCCGGGTGCAGTGGCTCAGTCTGGGAGGCCGAGGCGGGCAGATCGCTCGAGGTCAGGAGTTCAAAACCAGCCTGAGCAAGAGTGAGACCCCGTCTCTACTATAAATAGAAATTAATTGGCCAACTAATATATATATAGAAAAAATTAGCCGGGCATGGTGGCGCATGCCTGTAGTCCCAGCTACTTGGGAGGCTGAGGCAGTAGGATTGCTTGATCCCAGGAGTTTGAGGTTGCTGTGAGGTAGGCTGATGCCACAGCACTCACTCTAGCCTGGGCAGCAAAGCGAGACTCTGTCTAAAAAAAAAAAGATTGCCTGGTTTATTTTTGTTTGGCTTAGTTTCTGTAATCTCACAATGGTAATATTTTAAAACATCTTACTTGTCCGCTGTCGGGCTGGTTCTGTCTAGGCTGATTGACTGCACAGCTGTCATCCTGGGACTTCCCTTTGTCCTTGACTAAAATCCCAATCTAGCATCACACATCTTCCTCTTTACTATTTTACTCCTTATTTTTTTTGTGTGTATTTGGTTGTTTTTTTTTAAGTTAGTCTTATTGAGGTACAATTTATATACTGTAAACTTCCCCTTTGTTAGGTAGACAGGTCTAGGGTTTTTGGCAAACACATACCATCATATAACCACCACAGTCTCCCATCTTGGCTCTATGGATGGACTGCTGAAGCTCATGGCTTTATTTTTTTTTTCTTTTTTCTTTTTTCTTTTTTTTTTTTTTGAGACAGAGTCTCGCTTTCTTGCCTAGACTAGAGTGAGTGCCATGGCGTCAGCCTAGCTCACAGCAACCTCAAAGTCCTGGGCTCAAGCGATCCTCCTGCCTCACCCTCCCGAGTAGCTGGGACTACAGGCACGCGCCACCATACCCGGCTAATTTATATATATATATATATATATATATATATATATATATATTAGTTGGCCAATGAATTTCTTCCTATTTTTATAGTAGAGACGGGGTCTTGCTCAGGCTGGTTTTGAACTCCTGACCTTGAGCAATCCACCCGCCTCGGCCTCCCAGAGTGCTAGGATTACAAGCGTGAGCCACCGCGCCCGGCCTCATGGCTTTAAAATTCAAGTTGTGTTGTTCCTCTGTTCTAAACTGTCCGATGGGCTCCCGTCTTATTCAGAGTCCAAGTCAAAGCCCTTACAGTGACCTGCAAACCCCAAGCGATCTGGCCTGTTTCCTCTCTGGCCTCATCTACTCTCACTCTACCCCTTACTCACCCTGATCCAGCCACACAGGCTCAAGACCCCTCACCTTTCTGAAACACCAGGCCCACTCCTGCCTCATGGCCTTTGCACTGGCATTTTCCTGTCTGGAACTCTTCCCCCGTGTTCCACCTGGCTTACTGAAATGTTACTCCTTCAGGAGTGCTTTCTTGGCCACCTTACTTAAAATTGCACCTTACCTCCAGACCTGCAGTACTTTACAGGTGTTGGGGCGTGAGACTTTGGTACATGCACCATGACAAGAGTTACAACCTGAACAGTAAGGAAGTTTAGGCTTTAAAGAGTTTGGGTGCAATTGAAGCCACTGGAGGGTTTTAAACAACAGTGTAGCGACATGATCCACCTTGTATCTTAGCAGGATCTCTCTGCCTCCGATGCTGAGAATAGGCTGGAGGGAGCCAGGCCAGAAGCAGGGAGACCGGCACCCAGGTGAGAGATGATGGCGCTTTAGATCTGAGTGGAGGTGAGGAGCAGGAAGCAGATTCTGAATGTATCTTGAAGGTAGAGCCACCAGGATGTGCTGATGGGCTGGACATGGCCCTGCACCTCCTGAAATCCTCGGGAACCCTGCAGTGAGTTACCCTTTCTCACATAACGGGAGTCCAGCTCATCCAGGGTCCGACAGACCTGTCCCAAAGACAACGCCACACGCCGACTCCAGTTTCCCAACATTTAATTAGGAAAACACATTACAGGAGCAAAGGAAAACTCATGCAACTGAAGAGAGAATTGAGGTCTGGGACCATGAGGCGGGGCCAGATTCCTCAGGGGAGGCAGAAGACATGGAGCAGTAAGGCACTGCCGCCTCAGCCCTTCAGGGCGGGCGCAGGACAGGGCAGCTGAGGAGGAGGGGATCCAGGGCAGGTGCAGACGACACGGGAAATTTGGCAGTAGGGTGGGGACAAGGAGCATTCCAGAGCTTCCAGGTGCTCAGAACAGGGCCTCATAAGAACGTACAGGATGTTTTGAGGGGGACACTGTGGCCCAATCTAGCAGAGCCAATCTGAGAATAGCTTTGAGTACATCACCTGCCTCCAAGTGCTGCTGGTACTGAGAACCCTGTCTTGGAACAGGTGGGGCCAGCCATGGCAAGGGTGAAGTGCCAGAGGCTGGGCCAAAGCTGATAATGTTACAAAGGAGCCAGAACAGGTGGCAGGGCCCAGAACAACTCAGGAGAGGAAGGTGAGTGAGGCTGGCAACAACCCATGGGGAGACACATATTTACAGATGGAGACCAACAAGTTCAATTCAATAAATAGGTGGTTGGGGGCATAAATAGTAAGGAGGGCAGGGCTATCCCAACACGTGGGCACAGGGCAGGAGGGTGGGGGTATTGCTGCTGCTGGGGTGAGGGCTTGGTCCTGTCACCTCCTCCCCGTGCAGGGCCCAAAGCAAGGCACTAATGAAGGGGCCCATGTGTGCTGGGACGTCTTGTCCTGGAAACCTCCCACACGACACACAATCCAGGGCTCAGCCCAGCGGCCCGGGCTTGAGCCAGCTGCTCCCCTTGACAGGAGCATGGCTGAGGACTGAGAAGCCCCCTCCTCACCGATGCCACCACCTTTAGCTGTTGCTGGACATGAGGCTGATGATCTGCTCCAGCTTCTGGCGCAACTTATGCTTCCGACAAGAGACATCTTGGTCCAGAGCAGTAAGAATCTGGGGGAGAAGGGTCCCCTGGAGCTGGGCTCTCGAGGGGCCAGCTCCTCCTGTGCAAAGCCCCCACTTCCCAGCTGGGCTCTTCCCTCCCACACACCTCAGCCCCTCCCTCCTCCCTGGAGACCCTGTGCTCAGCTGACTCTCTTACCTCTGAACAAACCCAACACTCTGGATGCCAGATTCCCCTCCAACTACAGAACGTTCTCTCTGCACCTACAGTGCAGGCCCTCCCAAGAGTGGTCTAAACTCACTGTTCAAGGTCCACCCCTTCCACCCATGCTTCTCTTGTACAGCATCCATGACTTCTGCCAGACCCGGCCAGCGTTCGTCGTTGTTGCCCAGCAGCAGCACCTGATGGAGCTGATCACTCCCTGTTCTTCGAACCTTGCAGGATGTCCCCAGGTACTCTTGGGTTCACTCCCACCCTTCTGCCGGCTCCACCTCTTCCTTCCAACCTCTGAGTGTCCCCAGCCCAAAGCTCAGTGCTTAGGCTCCCTCTCCCTCCATGCCTACTGTCAGCTTCCTGGGTTAGCTCAGCCAGGCTCAGGGCTTTAAACGCCATCTGCTGACTCACACTTGTATATTTCTAACTGAGAATACATTCTGAAGTCCACACCTCTGTGTCCCCCTGCCTACTGACATCTCCAATCATAAATCCTGCAGGCCCTAACAGTGGCTGGCCCTGCACACCTCTTGGCCCAGGCCCATGTTCCTTGGCCCATCCCTTCCAATGCTCAGGCCCCTTAACATTTGCCCAGTGGCTTCTCTCCTGAATCCCTCAAATCTCAGCATCTACAAAGAGTATCACTTGTGGTGGCCCTGGGGCCTGTTCTGGGGAAGGACTGTGAACAATCCAAGAGATGGGCTCCATGTCCCTTCTGTCCCCTCTGCTTTGTCATTGGCTGTACTCTCAGGGCCAAGCAACTGGAGGTCTGTGGGGATAGCACGCACCTCCTGACGGTACTTGGTGACGTAGAAATAGAGCTCACTGAGTGCGCTTAGGACATTGAAGTCACTGGCATGGAGGCGGGACTGCTCTACCAGGTAGGCATCCATGTCCTGGTCACTGATGGACGCCATCTTTGCAATGTCTCGGTAGTACCTGTTGGGAACCTGAGTAGGTCACTTGGGCAGATGTCCCAAAAGCCAAAACCCCTGCCCTCACTGCCAGGCCAGCCTCAGAGAGGCAACCCAGGGAGAGTAGCTCCTGCCTGTCACCCACAGCAGGGTGGGGCCTACCTCTCCACCCAGCTCTTATAGTTGGGGATATCCTTGGCATAGAGCAGCTTGTTAGATGGGGAGTCCTTGCCCAGGCGGTGCTCAGATGTGGAGCAGGAGTCCATGAAGGTCTGGGCCACCACTGACAAGCAGGCATCCGTGATGCTGTTCTTGTGGATGTCAAACACGAACTGAGGGTTCTTGATCACATTCACCCAGAAACGCAGGGGCAGGCTGGACAGGGGGACACATCTGAGGCTTCCTAGTCAGCCCTGTGGGACCCCTCCCATGGGTGCTCCCCTTCATATCTTGTTCTTGCCTGCCCAGCTCACATCTTGTCCAGAGTTGGTGAGAGTGACAAGTTTAGTGTGAACAGCCTTTTCTCTATGTTTCTGCTGAACATCTGTCCTCAGCAGGTCTCAACCCCCTCTGTAGCTTCTATTGTCACCACTGTTACTACCTAGACTAAGCCACCAGCATCTCTACCCTGTGAAAAGCCCTGGAGAGCAAAGGGCCAAATCTCAGTGCTAGCCCTGCAACCACCATCCCACCTGCTCAATGCCCAGCAGAGTCCACCTCCAGAATCCCACTCCATCAGTCACCCTCTTGGCTTGGTATCACCATCAATTTCAGCCCCAGGCCAGGCTGCCATCCTCTCCTGCCTAAGGACTACTCCAGCTCCCACCCCACAGGCCCTGGGTCTTGGCAAAGCCATCAGCCTCCTCTTGCACCCATCCATCCTCACAGGGGCCAGTAGCAGCCCAGCACAAGGCAGTACCAGTTGCTGGGCCAATAGCAGCCCAGCACAAGGCAGTACCAGTTGCTCTTCCAGGTGTGGCGCACATCAGGGTCGCTGATCTGGCGCTGGTCGGCCTGCTCATCCAGGAAGTCGAACATGTACTTAATGGCCAGGGGCAGAGCTGAGCCTCGGTGAGCCGTGCTGAACACAGTCTCAAAGAGGTCATCCACAAACTTCTGCAATGTGCCCTGTGGGGGGTGGCAGAGAGGGCACAGGGTATGAGGGAGCCAGATCAGGATGTCCCCAAAGCAGGACAGATGGAGGCAGAAAGGCTCAGCAAAGAGCAGGGCTTCCCTGCAGGGCCAGCACCTCTGAGACAGACCCAGCCTTGACCTCAGGCTGGGAGTTACTATAGCAAAGGCCATGAGAAAGGCCCACAGGATCCAAACAATCCAGTGGCCCCCTACTCTGGCAGATCAGGCCAACCTCAAGGCCAAGGCCAGGGCCAGGCTAGGAGGCATCTATGCAGAAGCCAAGGTGGTGAGAGGCAGGCCCACACCTTGGTGGCCAGTAGTCGAGTCAGGTAGATCTCTGAGACCATCTTGCTGCCACGGTCCCCCTCTCGGTGGTCAGTGTGGTCATGGTTCTTCACCAGGTGCCACAGCTTGGTGCCTGTCTCCTGGTCAGGTGTGATCATGGGTGCCCTCGAGCGGAGGCTGTCAGGGCTGCTAGCTGTGCGGAGCAGGCTCTCTGGTGCAGAGGACAGGTGTTACCCTCAGGCCACTGGGGCCGCAGGCATCACCCTGCCTCTTGCCAGCCTCCACTCTCTTCCAGGAGCTCAGCAGCCTGGGGGGATCCATCTGTTCTTGCTGGCCCATCCTAGGTCTAAACTCTTTAGAACTGGAAACCTCCCAAGGGAATAGCCTGGGAAGGCTTCCAGAGCTGCTTGGACAGGAGGGTTCCCCAGGTGGGTTTACACAGCCTTGAAGGGCACATGGCCACCATGCTGAGGACACCTACCGTAGCGGCTGAGGGAACAGGTGAAGGTGAAGGAGTTGGCCATGTTATAGGCAGACACTTGTTTGGGCACCAGTGCCACCAAGGAACCATCTGTCACCTGGAGGTCCCAGAGACAGAAAGGGGGCAGTGCAGGAAGCCAAAAAGCCAACAGGCCACCACCCACCCAGACCATTCAGTGTGTACATGGGTGGCACCTGAAGCCCCATGAGTAGAGTTCATGAGTGCAAGGACAACAGCAGAGAAGGGCCAGGGCCACTGCTCCTGTGTCTTGCTGTGGCTCAGGGCAGGGTCCCAGCTCTCAGGTGGCCCTAGGGGTGAATGGGCCCCCAGCCCCTCACCTGGTAGTGGGCCAGTGAGTTGACCCTCTTCCAGTCACACTCAATCTTGGTAGTGACATCCTCATCCTGGAGGATGATGCGGGCCATGCGACCCTGGCGCCATTCTGTGGGCCACAGACAGCCCTTAAGTTCGTGCCTGGTGTCCCCTGAGACCCTAGGCCCAGTCCTCCTAGAGAACAGAGCTCAGGTGGGGACTGTGAGAGCCAGATGAGGTTACATAACCACAGGCATGACAAACCCCCTTGGAGGGTGTGCACAGAGGCCAGGAGGAGAGGGCAGGGGCCTCACCCAGGTCCATGTCCTCTGCTTTGGGGCGCTGGGAATACGGGATGCCCTTGTACACAGTGTCCAGGAGCTTGTCTTTGGCCTGGGTGATGCTGTCACAGTTGAGAACCTTCACCGGGACGTGGGCACTGCCCTCACTCTCTGGGCACACGCAGTGTAGGGTCTGAGGGTAGAGGACCCCAGAGTCAGTCCAGACAAGGCCTCTTCCCATGCCCAAGCCTCTTGCCCACCTGGCCCATGCTCACCAGTGTCTTGTAGTCGATCTGCTGCCGGATGAGCTTGTCCTCACTCAGGGAGTAGCGTGCCTCGCCTGTGATGGCATCAATGGGGCCCTTCTCCATCTGCTGCTTGATGGCACAGTACAGGAGGAAGAGCGGCTCCCCTGCACACTCCTGTAGCCAGGGTCAGGCACATAGTTGCTGCCTGTCTGACAGCCAAGCCAGCTGCTCCTGACATCACCTCCCCTGCCACCCAGCCCGCCAAGTGCACCTTCAGAAACTTATGCAGCAGGAACGTGAACCAATTGGTAAGCATCTTCTCAGCTACTGACTCTGTCCTACGGCAGGAGAAGTGTGCTGAGGCCCTGGCCTGGGAAGGGGGCGGGGCCTGGCAGGGGTGAGGGGAACAGGGTGGTGTTGGGTACCTGCGCAATAGCAGCTTTGGGTGGTTCTTGCTCTCAAGGTTTTTCTGTATAAGATCTGCCAGCAGTTGCTTGAGCAGCCCTGTGGCGTAGTCGAGCCGGCTCTGCAAGGCCACCATGGTGAGCGAGGCCACGGTACCACGGTCACGCATGGAGAAGCTGCTCTGGGCCTCTAGTGTGTGGATGAAGGTGAGCACGAAGACGCGGCTGTGCAGCAGTTGCCCGAAGAGGCGCAGGGCCTTCTCAATGTTGGGTGGGGTCTGTGGGGAGCAGGGAGTCTCAGAGGGTGAAAAGGGAGAACAGGGTCGGTGGGGGCCCCCCCAGGGAGAACAGAAAATGGGGGCTCACATCCAGCTCCTTGAGCACTGGGTGGGCCTCGATGCCGGGGAAGAGCACGCGCACGGCATAGGTCCGGTAATCCAGGAAAGGGATTTGCACCCCATCCATGTGGTTCGTTAGCTCATTGATGTCGGTCTGTAGCTCTGCAAAGGCTAGGGAGGCACAGAGAGGGAATAGTGCTGAGCAGGAGGAGGGAGACCTGCTCCCACAGCCTCCCTACAGCCCCTGTCTCAGGCACCTTCCTTGCATTCCAGGGCCACACGGGACTCCAGGTTGTCCATCTGCAGCTGGAGCCGCTTGAGTGTGCGGTCTGCATCCTGAGTCTTGCGCTTGTAGGCAACCAGCACGGCGGTGATGGCCAGCAGCAAGAGCCCACCCCCTGCTGCCAGTCCCACCATGGCAGGCAAGGTCAGTGCCCGCTCAGCTGTGATGTGCAGGGTGCCCAGCCAAAACTCTAGGCCACCCACCAGCACCTGCAGGGACAGGCCCGAGGTGAGCCGACCCTCACGCCCACCCTGAGCTGCCCTGGTGGTCTCCCCGTACCTCACTCACCATGACGGGCTGCCGGCCAGTCTGGCTGGGTGAGTCACACAGGAGTTGTGTGTCCGAGACGGTGAGTGCACACGGCTGGCCTCCTATAAGCACTGTGTAGTTGAGGCGGGAGCTACCAGCTGCTGCGGGGATCAGGTTCTTGCCCTGGGGGTAGAGGACAGGCTCAGCCCAGGGCTCTCCACCTCCCTGGCCCTCCCTCTTTCCGCTCTTCTGCACCTTCAGCACCACATGGGAGCCATGTTTGATGTCCAGCACACCGGAGGGGCCAAGCGGCTCAAAGCTGGGGTCAGGGTAGTAGGTGAAAGAGGAGTGGTTGAGGAAGCGAGCTGTCTGCACATGGTCCAGCAGGAAGCCAAACTCATCAGGGTGCTCGCCTTGGGCCCGTGGTTGGGGCTGCCCAAGGAAGATGCCGGGGGCTTTACACAGCATGGCAGTGTCGTTGATCACCTGGCATGTCTGTGAGGACAAAGGTGAACAGCCCAGCACGTGAGGCCATGGGCAGCAGGGGTGGGACAGGGGCAGCTGATACTCACATTGGTGGTCTCAATGCCGCGGTACTTGGCCCGGATCCGGGGCTCCTGAACTGTCAGCAAGTGGGTCCCACTCACAGTGATGGCAGTGCTTCCACTAGGGTAAGAGGTGAGGGACCTCAGGCTCCCTCCTCCATTGTCCCCCATCCAGCCCTGGAGATTTTTCAAGGCTGCCATGGGAGCCCAGGGCCTCCGTGATCCTGGATCACCCAGTGGGTGCCAGGTATTACACAGCCAGGACAACTCTGCACTCTACTGAAGAGAGTTTAGGCTCTAAGGAGGCATGACTTGATGCCCAAGGCTTTGTTCACCATGCAAGGCCTAGTCCCAGACCTCCTGCATGCTGCCCAGTGTCTTACTTGATGATGCTCCAAGTGGGCTCAAGGTGAGTGACCGTGGGGTCCTGAGTGTAGGTGTAGATGACTCCAGGGCTAGAGACATTGGCACGGTCAATGGCAAGGGTGATGGGGGCCTGGCTGGGGCCCAGGGTGGAGACAGGTGCAATACACACAATCGCCTCGGCATCTCTCCTGTGTTGGCAAGTGGGCGCTTGGAGGCAGTGGCCCAGGGCCCTCAGCCACCCTGGCCCCACAGCCCCCACCCCATGCTCAGCCTGAGGCTGGCAGGGCCCTGGCCTACCTCACGAACTGGCACTCGCCATCTCTCACAGTCACTGTGACCCTGCTGCCAGCATCCAGGGAGCTGCCAGAGATGGTGAGCCGAGAGCCCCCCGAAGCTGGGCCCCGACTGGGACTCACACGGTCAAACATTGGGCTCTGTGGGAGAAGCAGCCCTGATGGTAGGGAGGAGCCAGCCGGGCTAAGGAGAAGGGTGGGAAGGGGAAGGGCTGCAACCACTCACCACAAAGCTGTAGAGCTGCTCAGACTGTGTGCGGAAGTCAGCAGAACAGTCACCTATGCAGAGCTCCACAGGCCCTGGTGGCGGGCTGGGCACCAACGACTCCTCCATCTCACACACGATCCTAGGGATCAGAGGATGTCAGAGCCAGCTGGGGCAGACAAGCCTGTGCACCCACACGGCCATACTCACCTCTCAGCACTGACATACTCGGCTGGGATGGAATTGCAACGCACACCAGCCACCCGCAGGCCCACCTCTCGGGAGGCGAGGCCCAGGTTCTCACCCACGATGGTGACCCTGGTGCCTCCCTCCTTGGGCCCCATGAGAGGATGGATCTGCAGAGCAGGATGGGAAGCAAGAGTGTCAGCCCAGACTCACAGGCGCCAAGTAGGCAGTGGGCAGGGGTGGTAAGGGAGGCTGACCTGGGCAATGCGGGGGTGGCTGCACTGGGCACCTTTCTGGCTGGGGTGCATCCAGTTGGTCTTGGGGGCCGGGCAGTGGGCCTGTAGCTGGCATCTGTGCTCTGAGATGCACCAGCCACAGTTGAACCGGGGGTCAGCCTTGAGGCAGAGGCCACAGCTAGGCCGCTGTGCCCAGCACTTGTACAGGAGGGCTGTGGGCACAGGGGGCACTGCTGATGGAGGGGGCAGTGGCAAAAAAGTAAGGAGGACAAGAGCCCCCCCGACCTGGCCCCAGCAATGCCAACTCTGCCTTGGGAGGCAGGCTCCCTGGCCCCATGCTGTCTCTCACCTCTGAAGTTGGGAGGCTTGTCAATGGGGAAATCTCCATCCCAGACCACAGAGAAGTCCAGCTCAGTGTCACCATACTCATCGCCTTCATAGGAGTACTGGGGGAAAGGGACCCAAGTGACCCCAGGTAGGACATGCAGAGCCTCCCATTGCATCAGGGTTCTTGCCATCTACCCCTCCCCCAGGCTTAGGAAACACCAGCAGGAGACTCAGAGGTCTCTTGCCAGGGCCACCTGAGGCCACCAGACCCCTGTCACACCACAGCCTGGGCCCCCAATGGGGACACGGCAGGCAGGGGCTCACCGAGGTGTTCTGGCACTGCACGCTGCTGCTGTTGAAGCGCACAGCAGGCACTCGCTGCTGCCGCCCCTGCACCTGGACCACACACTCGTAGTTCTTCTGGCCTGACTGGGGCTGCGGCAGGTTCTTAGCTCGCAGGGTAAGAGGTTGCATGACACCAACGGGGATCAGGAGGTCCCCACTGGGCAGGATCTCAGGGCAGCCCTGGGGGGAAAACACCTGTCAGCTGGACACTGGGCCACCACCCTTCTCCAGGCCCAGCTGGGCCTGCCCAGCCTTGAGGAGGCTCAAAGAAACTAAGAAGTCAAATGTAGAAAAGCCAGAGGCCAGCCCACACCACAGAACCCGGTCCCCTCACACGAGCCGCATGCCTCACCTCAGGGCTGTGGACCCTGCCCTCCTGGAAGGAGCACTCGTGGGGGTGACTGGTACACACGTGGCGGTACTTACACCAGTGGCAGGGGTAAGGGCTGCTGACGCAGGACATGCACCTGGGCGGGGGGATGGCTTCAGAAATAATGGTGGCCAGACTGTCCCCTCACTGCCCCACCCCTGGGACACACCAGGAACCACACTGGGGGACAAAGAACTATGGGGACAGAGGTAAGCCCCTAGAGACAGCCACCCTGAAGGTCCTGCCTGTCCCAGAGCCCTCTTCTGTCCTCAGGGATAGGGACAGATGCTAGGCCAGGTACTTACGACTGGAAGACGCTGCAGTTGTAGAAGACAAAGTCAGCCCCAGCAAACCTCACGCCAGTCTCCTTGGAGAGCAGCTGCAGCCTCACAGTGCGGGTGGCTCCTGCAGTAAGCCCAACAGTGGCCATGGGCTTCCTGGGGGGCAGGGAGTGGCTTCCACTCCCCCCCAGACAGCCCCAGCCCACTGACCATGCCCCTTGGTAAGAGCCCGGAGCTCCTGGAAAGAGGGCGAAAGGCAGCGCAGCTCGCCAGAGGGCAGCAGGATGGCCTTGCTCTCCATCACTTCCTCAAAGGCACAGCTCACACCCACGCTGAGGTCTGGCACGTTGCGCATGGCTACAGTCAGCTGGGGGAGGCAGAGGGCTCAGAGCAGGGTGCACCCCAGCGTGCACGCACGGGCCCCAGCACCCTCTTTGCCACTCACCTGAACCCCAGGTGATGTCACCGAAACATTGTTGGGCCGGACCCGCACCTGAACGCACTTGCTCAGCTCTTCCGCAAAGCCATGTGGGGCAGAGGCACCTGGACAGGCCCCCTCACGGCAGCATCTGTGTGGGATCAATCCAGAGTCACTGGCTTCTCTGCCCCGGGAGGGCCCAGGCAGTGGATGCAGTGGGGGGCAGGGGGAGACAGAAGATAGCCTGCCCAGCTCACAGTGCCAGGCAACAGCAAGCCTTGGTCTCATCCCCTGAGGTCCAAGGGACATCACTTGGGGTGGAGGTTCCATTCATTAGCTGGGGAAAGTGGAGGAGGGAGAGAGGAGGAGGCTGTGAGGGCACAGCTGGGGAGGAGTGGGCAGGCAGGTAGAGGCAGGCATGGCAGGTGTGACTGGCTCTCCAATTCCCCAGGGCAGGGAGCCCATTTTCACCCCCCCATCCTGTACCTGCCACCCTCACCTGTGCTGCAGCACACACCAACCACAATGTGGGTCCCCTGAGCCCAGGCAAGCCGCGCAGCTCAGGTACTGTTCACAGGTCTCCACTGGGAGCTGGCTCACCTGGGGACAGCCACATCAGCACCCAGCCTGCCCCTGTCCCCCCACCCACCGCCACCCACCATGGGCCCACCTGCTTCTCGTTCAGGAGGTAGATGTGCTGGTGGTCAGGGCTGAAGAGCAGGTCTCGGAGTATGGGGCTGCCGTCCACCACAGGGACCGTCTCGTACAGGTGGGCATCCTGGGAGCCATCGACCCGCACCTGAGCCACAAGAGCAGGGTAGAGGAATGCTGGGCCAGCCTGATGCTGCCACAGCCCTCTGCACCCAGGGCATCCTCTCCACAGCCAGGGGCTTTCTAGGTTGTGGCTGAGCTGAAGTTAGGGCCTGGTGGGGCTCCCACACCTCAGCCCAAGGCCAGGGAAAGGGGGTGCAAAGGCCAGAAAATGAGCTCAGGAAATTTGGAGACACAGAGGTCAGGGGGTGGGGAAGGGTGATAGCTATAAAGAAGGGCAGTTTTTAGGGTGATAAGAATGTCCTGGAATGAGACAGTAGTGATGGCTGCACAACTCTGCAAATATCCTAAGAACCATTGAAGTGTATACTTTAAATGGGCGAATTATGTGGTATGTGAGTTACACCTCAATGCAGGTGTGACAAATGGAAAAAGGGTCACAGGAGCTCAGCACCTCCCTTTATAAACCCTTCCCTGACCAGGTGAGCAGGATGATAGCACCACAGCCATCCTGAGCCCTGTCTCTTCAAAACGTATCTGAGTGCCCAGGAGTTCACCCCCAGCCCCAGAATGGACATGGCTGCAGCCCTGCCCTACTTCCTATGGGCAGAGCTGTGGCCCAGCCAGCACTGCAGCCCTAATGCCCACGAGGGGACCAGAGGCCAAAGGGAAAGACCCTCAGGGACAGAGGAAAAGCCCTCTCCAGGGTGGTGACATTTAGGGTGAGATGGGAAGGAGTTAGCCAGGGACGGAGCAAGTGGCAAGTGGGCACCAGGGATAGGAGGGTCCATGGGGCAGGGGAAGCACTCAGACCAAAGTGCACAGGGTTATGACCAGTCGGCTCCCTCATTCATTCAACTGAAGACCCAGCTCTTGTGGTAGGGAGACCCCACAATAAGTCTGATCTCTGTCCCCAGAGGCAAAAGAAGCTAGCATTTCAGGCCACAGAAGGCACTGGTGCTGGTGGGGGTGGATGGCTAAAGGGCCCCTGGGACCCAGCCTGGGAAGCCTCCATTCCACTACCTATCAGTTGTGCCCTGTCTAGGGTGTCCCAGGGCTTATCTGTGTGTTCCCACCACCTGCCTTGTCCCGTATCCAAAGGACTAGCTCCATCCCCATATGTTAAGGGTTCCAGAGCCCACCTTCTTCAGACTGCCACTGCGTGTGCCAATGAAAACCACAGAGTGCTGGTGGTAGGTGTAGGCAGCCACGCTGACCATGCCATCAGTGTTGTCGGCTAGCAGGGGCAGCCCCTCAATCACATGCAGGCCACCCAGTGGCTGGTTCAGCACCAGCCCACAGAAGTTTCCATTGATCTGGATAGGCTGGCAAAACAGAGGAGGGGTATGTAAGAGGTCCAGGTGCAAGCACACACCACCGGACAAAGGCCACCAGATCTCAGTCCCAGGAGAGAACAGGATCTGGAACCTGCTCCCTCCATCCAGACCTGACTACCTTGTCCTGTGGGCAAGGGCGCTTGGGGCCAGAGGAGGGAGATGAAGGAGGGAACGCAGGGAGGAGCACAGCTTGAGCTGCAGGACACCCACAAGATGGAAGATGGAGGAACCTGTTGGGAGTGGCTGGAGGGGCAGGGAGAGGGAGGTGGCAGTCTACATGGAGGGCACTGGGTAAAAGAAAGATTGTAGGGAGAAAGGGCTGAGAGAAGGAGAGGCAAGGCAGAGGTCCCTGAAAGGGAGAAATGAGTGTCAGGGCTATGGTGCCACTCCCAGGGTTATGCAAAGCCTGGGAAAGGACAGCCAGGTGTCAGCCCAGACCAGTTACTGGCCTGGGGACAGCTTAGCTGAGTGAGGAGCTCACGGTGTTTATGCAGGGCAGCTCCTTGTTCAGCAGCCAAGGCAGGGCCAGCGTGCCCTCCCCCCGATAGCAGGACTGGATGCGGCGCCGGATGTGGGCGTTGATGTTGCTGAGGGTAAAGATGCAGAGAACGGTCTGCCTGGGCGGGCTGACCCGGTTCTTCTGGCCCTGAGAGAAAACAGTGAAGAGGACATCCTCGTCGGCTGGCACGCCCAGGGCTTGGGCCAGCAGCAGGCCGGGCTTGGCCAGGTGGGCGCTCTGAACCAAGCGGTATTCCACCCCACGCCAGGAGCAGCCGATGGGGAACTCCACGTATGAGTAGAACTCTGAGTCCCCTGCACACATGCGCACAATTTTGGACGTGAAGAATTTCTCGCCTGCTGTGTCCAGCAGCGTCTGCTGGGTGTCCAGCTGCAGCGTCAGGAAGTACACGAAGGAGGTGCTCACAAAGCCATAGATGTAATAGATGTCGAAGGCAGGGTACAAGGACAGTGTGTCTGAGGGGATCTTGATCTGAGAGGAAACAAACTCATCCTGGTACACCTGGGGAGCAGGTTGTGGCAAGAGCATAGGGTGAGGCCCTGGGCTGCCCCCCACCCGACCTTCACCCCAACCCCAGCACAGTCCACCGGTGGCTTCCCTCAGGACGCCACACCTGCCCCACCCAGGCTGGAAAGGCCAAAGGGGGCAGGGTAACCAGCCTCCCTGCAGACAGGACCCCCCCACAGCTTGGGCTCAGTCTGTCCTCCACCCTCAGCAGCTTGTCTTCGTCTCAGGCAGTGAGGGCCAAAGCCTCCCCTCACAGACCAGCACAGGGCCAGCACGCAAGAAGGAGAGGGAGGAGCAGGTGGGTAAGGCTCACCCACCAGGCTAAACATGTCCGCGCTGTCTTCGTTGCTGATGAGCTTGCGGGAGCTCAGGGTAGGGAAGTACTCCGACTTGCCATTGACAGCAGTGCCCACAAACAACTTGCTGGGCCCCTGGCCCTGCTCCACAATGACGCCAGCCATAGAATCAGGCTCTTGGGCCCCTGACAGGTAGTGCTCCTTGCGGTGGTGGGGCTCGCCCAGCTTGAAGAGGTCATCCAGGCGCAGGAACTGGCAGATGCCCTGCCAGGTACTGCCACAGGCCACCAGGCGGTGGGCTGCATAGTCTATAAGCAGCAGCTTATTCACGTTGTTCACGGGTGCTAGGCGGTGGGCACATACACGCATACTGGGGGGTGGGTAGCAGCTAGCATTATCCTCAACAGGCCCGGTGATATGGGCCCGCAGCTCAGTCAAGTTGGGGGCCAGTTTAAAGACACGGTTCACTGCACCCACGAACACCTCTCCAGTCACTTGGTGCACAGCAAGGTGAGTGAGTGTGGTGTCTGTCACCACGAAGGCACGGAAGGGCCTGCTGTTGCCCAGGGCCCCACCAACAGCAAGAAAGAGCAGCTGGAGGAGGAAGACAGTATGCATGGCCAGCAGCTGCACCTGGGGACGGGCCTGAGAAGAAATGGCAAGTGGGAGTCAGAGACCCCAGGCCCAGGCTGCCCGTCCTCCTCCTGTGCTGCCCAGCCCAGGCTCCTGGCAGGCTGAGCTCCATGCCACAGAGGGCCAGAAGCCACCACCACACCAGAGCCCCACATGGTGACCATGGCTGGGAGAGAGGAGGGGCCTCCACCAGGACCCATCAATCACCCCTCATCTCCTGCGCTAGAGAGGAGCCAGGAGGCTCCTGGGCCACACCCAAGGGGGCGGCAGAGCCAGATGCTCAGAAAGGCAGGCCGGGAGGCCCTCCTGGAACTGAGAGCCTGAGCGACACATCCTGGAGCTGAGGTCGCCAGCTGCACAGAGCAGCAATCACAGGGAAGCCTCAGGCCGCAGAAATGCCCCCGCCTGAGCTGAGAGAAAGGGAGACGCAGGGAGAGAAAATAAGCACAGCTGGGGGAGGGGTGTGGGAGCAGGGACACCACCCCTGAGTGGCACTGTGACCAGAAGCCCAGGACAGAGGTCTGGGGCATCAAGGGCTGAAGCTAGACCCAGCATCACCACATCCCCGCAGGGGGCCAGCTGCTTCTTGGCCCCAAGGGCCTCGGCTGGCTGTCCAGGAGTCTGTTGTCTGGCCTCCCTGCTGCAACACAAAGCCAAGTCGCCTTTGTTGCCCCCACAGCCACGTGCCAAGACAGACATAAGTCAAGCTCTGCTCAGGCACAGCCAGACAGTGCCCAGCAGCCCCTTGAGGCTCATGCCAGATCCAGAGGTTAGCTGGGGAGGGCAATGTGCAGGGGGCCCAACCCACCCCTGGGAATCCCAGGAGCCTTATGGAAGGGGAGCAATGTCCTAAATGCAGTTCAAGCCTTGGGAAGATGAGGCTCGGGCCATAGGGACAGTTCTGGGATTGGCACTTAGTCCCCAGGCCACACCCAGCCAGACCCAGGCTGCAAAGACAGCAGAGCAGTGTCGTGGCAGCCAACAGGGCAGGGCTCAGCACTACCCTTTCAGTGCCCCAGACCTAAGGGAAACAGGAGACACCAGCCTGGGGGCTTGGGGAACCAAACCAAGGAGGCACAAGATGAGAGAAAGGAAAAAATACATTTGCTAGAACAAGAAGCAGGCCCAGCTTGAAATTGCAAAGTTTCAGCTCGAATTGATCATCTCTCTTGGGCTCTTTTGTCAGGTCTGCATCCTAAACCTCTAATGCAACAGCAGGAGAAGAAAGGCAGGCAAAAGAGAAGAGAGGCCACATCCTGCCCTCACCTTCTCCAGGAAGACAAGCTTAGGGACAGGCTGGAGACAGGTCAGCAGAGAGACCTGGAGAGGCAAGATTTGCAGCCCAAGATCCCACCCCAGCCCCCACCTGTAAGTGGCAACCTCTGGCATCACAGGTACACCCACCCGTTTGCCATAGCCCTGCCAGTACAGCGCTCCACTATGGGGACAACCCCGCAGGGAGACGCGGGTCCAGCACTACCCAATGCCTCCCTGTGCTGCTGGCCCAGCCCGCCCTATCCCGTCAGGGGCACCCTCAGCAGACGACGGAGACCTGAGTGGATGAAGTGCAGTAGCAATCCTCGGAGGGGTCGCTCCTCCGCGACAAAGAGTCCCCATCGGGCTGGGCGGCCGGGCTTGGGCTGGCCATCCCTACCAGTGCAGAGCACGGGCAGGGCCAGGGCCTGACCCCCCGCGAGGCCGAGCTGGACCGCCGGGGCTGCTTTAGCCCCAGGACACTTAGCAGGCTAGCCCTGCGTGGATGGCGGCCACCTACCTGTCCCTCCGCCGCCACTGGTTCCACGTGGACACACACCCGAGCCCCACACCGGCCCCGCTCGCGCCCCCGCACTGCTGCGCCCCGCGCGTGCCGCCACCCACACACTGGGCCGGCCCACGGACGCAGAGCCTTTTAAGCTCGGACCGTACCACCGCGCCGGGCGGGGGCGCCCAGGGAGGGCCGGCTGGAGCGGCGGGGCGCCTGAGCGGCGGGGCGCCTAAGCGGGGTCGCTCCCTGCGGGGGCCGGGGGCCCAGCGCGCAGCTCCGACCCCTGCGAGCCGCTAGGGGTCCCCCCCAGTGAGTCGACCCCTTTCGCTCAGTGGCCGCGTCCGCGACACGCGCCTCCCCCCCCCCCTCCGTCCCCAGCCTCCCTGCCGGCTGCCTTGGGCAACCTTGGACTCTGCGCCACACCCCCTCGCGCCTGGGGCGCGCACTCGCCTCGGCTCTGGGGGGGGGGGCGCACCAGGGGGGTCGCCTGCTGCGGGTGCGCGGCCCCCCTGGTGTCGGCCCCTTAGGTGCACCTGGGCCAAGGACTCGGGGTCCGAGCTCAGGACGCTCCCCTGACTGCCCATAACGCGGTGGGCCTGTGGCTGGCGGCATGGAAATGCCCAGCACAGGGACTAGAGGGTTAAGGTTACAGCAATTTACACCTTGCCCCTGCCCCAGCTGGCCACCGTGACTTTGAATCAGGGGCTTTCTTCTCTTGCTGTCTTTCTCCTCTTTATGAAACAGTTTTATTGAGATGTCGCCCATGTAAATGCACAATTCAATGGCTTTTAGTATATTCACGGAGTTGTGCAACCATTGCCACTAATTCCAGAACACTTTCATCACCCCCAAAAGAAACTCTGTACCTGTTAGCTGTCATTCCCCACTCCCCCCTGCTCTAGCCCCTGACAGCCCTTCTTCTACTTTCTGAGTAGGGTTTGTCTGTTCTGGACATCTCATGTGAGCGGAATCACATGGCATGTATGTGTCTTTGTGCCTGGGTTCTTTCACTTAGCATCAGGTTTTCAGGGTTCATTCCTGTTGTAGCCTATGTCAGTACTTCATTTCTTTTTATTGCCAAATTACATTTCACTGTATGGGTGTATTTTATTTCTTCATTAGTTAGACATTTGGGTTGTTTCTACCTTTTGGCTATTGTGAATAGTGGTGCTAGGAACATTTGTGTATGAGTTTTTGTGCAAACATGTTTTAATTTCTCTTGAGTACACAGTATAACTAGGAGTGGAATTGTCAGGTCATATGATTACTCCATTTTTGACATTTTGAAAAACAGCCAAACTGTTTTTCAAAGTAGTGAAGTAGTTGCACCATTTTACATTCCCACCAGTAGTGTATGAGGGTCCCAATTTCTCCACTTCCTTTCCAACACTCATTATTATTGGGTTGTTTTATTAATGGCCATCCTAGTGGGTGAGAAGTGGTATATCATTTTGGTTTGGCTTTTCATTTCCCTAATGAATAATTATGTTGAGCATCTTTTCATGTGCTTGCTGGCCTTTTGTATATTGTCTTTGGAGAAATGTCTATGAAAGTCCTTTGCCCATTTTTTAATTGGATTTTTTGTTTTGTTGTGGTTGAGATGGAGTTCTTTGTATATTCTGTATACTAATCCCTAATCATATGTAAGATTTGCAGACATTTTCTCTAATTCTGTGGATTCTCTTTTCACTTTCTTTTTAGTGTTCACTCATGCACAAAAGTTTAAAATGTTGATGGTGTATAATTTATCTTTCTTTTGTTTGTACTTTTATTGTCATATCTAAGAAATCATTGCATAATCAATCCAAGGTTGCAAAGGTTTACACTTAAGTTTTCATCTAAAAGTTTTATAACTTTTTCTCTTGAATTCAGGCCTCTGATCCACTGGGGTTACTTTTTGTGTGTGATGTGAGGTTGTGGTCCAGCTTCATTCCTCTCTGCATGTGGATATCCAGTTGTTCCAGCACCATCTGTTGAAGAGACTGTTCTTTCCCTATTGCATAGTCTTGGCACCCTCATGGAAAATCAATTGACTATAGATGTCTGGCTTTATTTCTGTACACTCAATTCTGTTCCATTGATCTCTATGTCTTACTTATGCCTGCACCACACTGTCTTTTTTTTCTTCTTTTAGCAACACATTCCAAACCTAGTACCAACTGTCTTACTCAGTGTAGCCTTGTAGTAAGTTTTGAAACAGAATTATGAGTCCTCTAAATTTTTTCTTATTCAAGAATGTTTTGGGTATTCAGGGTCCCTTGCATTTCCATATGCATTTTAGGATGAACCTGTCAGTTTCTGCAAAAAGGCCAGCTAGGATTGTGAAAGGGACTGAATTGAATCTGTTGATCAGTTTGGGGAGTACTGCAATCTTTACAAAATTGGATCTTCCAATCCATGAGCACAGAATGTTTTGATGGTTCAATTAAAACCACACTGAAGGGCCAGACATGGTGGCTCACGCCTGTAATCCTAGCACTCTGGGAGGCGGAGGTGGGTGGGTTGCTCAAGGTCAGGAATTTGAAACCAGCTTGAGCAAGAGTGAGACCCCATCTCTACTAAAAATAGAAGGAAATTAGCCGGACAACTAAAAATATATAGAAAAAATTAGCCGGGCATAGTGGCGCATGCCTGTAATCCCAGCTACCCTGGAGGCTGAGGCAGGAGGATCACTTGAGCCCAGAAGTTTGAGGTTGCTGTGAGCTAGGCTGACACCACAGCACTCTAGCCAGGGCAACAGGATGAGACTCTGTCTCAAAAAAATTAAAAAAAAAAAAAACCACACTGAGATCAAACAAAAACTTGAACATTGATGTTCACAGCAGCATTATTTACAATAGCCAAAGGGTGTAAACACCCAAAATGTCCATCAACAGATGAATGGATAAACAAAGAGTGGTCTATCCAGACAATGAAATATTACTCAGCTGCAAAAAGGAATGAGTTATTGGTACATGCTACAGCATAGACAAACCTCAAAAACATTGTGCAAAGTGAAAGAAGCCAGACACAGAAGGCTACATAGTGCATGATTCTATTTATGTGAATCTCCAGAATAGTCAAATCCACAGAGACAATACATTAGTGACTGCCGGGGGCTTAGGAGGGGGAATGGGGAGACAGTGCTTAATATGTATGAGGTCTCCTTTTTTGTGTTGAAAATATTCTGGGAGTAGATAGAGGTGATGGCTGTACAACATTGTGAATGCACCAAATGCCACCAAATTTTACATTTTACATTTTTTTAATTTTAATTTTTTTTTTAAGAGACGGGGTCTCGCTCTATCACCCAGGCTGGAGTGCAGTGGCATCATCATAGGTCACAGCAACCTCAAACTCCTGGGCTCAAGTGATCCTCCTGCCTCAGCCTCTGAGTAGCTGGGACTACAGGCATGAGCCACCGTGCCTGGCCTTGTACGTTTTTAAATGGTTAATGGCTAATTTTATGTCAATTTGAAATTTTATGTCAGTTGAAAAATTAAAAATATAAATTAAAAATAAAACCCCACATTGAGAAAGCATGTCTCCCATCTCAGCTTAACATGTGTCCTGATGGGAGCGACAACACCCTGTGTGCGAGGCTGGGGGGCAGCTCGCATGCCTTTGGTTAGGCTGCGAAATGGGACAGGCCCCAGGAAGGCGTTTGCCAATTTCTGTAACATTCGCTATGGCTTAAAGAAGAATGAGGAGCCTATACACAGATGTGAGAAGACAGGTAGAATATTCAGATATATCGTTGAGTGACACTGTAGTGCACAGTGTAGAGCAGCATGCAAACATCACACCTTTTGTATAAGAAAGGTGAGAGGCAGGGTGGACATGAGCTCGTGAGCTCGGAGGACTGAAGGAGAGTGCATCACTGCTGGGGACGTTGAGGGAACTGGCCCAGCCAGGGCTGAGCCAGAAGAGAGGTGTCCTTTCATGCGTATGTGAACCGTGTACACATGCTGAACTGTTCAAGGCAAAAGAGAGAAAAGAAGAACATCTACCCCTTCCCTTCATTTCAGACTTTCCTCCTTCCTTCCTTCCAGCCAGGCTGTCCTGCAGTCACCCAGCGGTGTCTGCACATGCTGTACCCTCTGCCTGGAACCCCATCCTCCCAGGGACTTAGGGTCTTCCCAGAAAGTAGGTCTGCGCCTGCCAGGCTCTGAGATTGGTCCTCAAGGAGCTTGTTTTCCAGAAGCTGCAGGGCTGAAGGCAGCTCCCCTGGAAACCATCTGCCACTGGATGAGCTGGCTGAGAGGGGTTCCCTTTCCCCAGGAAGCCTGCTCTTCTGGTAGGTTCTGAAAGGAAAGGGGTTGGCACACAGGACCAATCCTCCAGCAGGGCTTCTGGGAGCCCAACAAAAGGCCCCATTGAGGTACTCAGACTTGTCTCTCACATCTGGGACACAGAGTGAGGCCCGACCACGCCCTCCTTGCTGCTCCCTGGCCTAATCTACCCTCTTCCCTCTTCCAAGTGATTTCAGATGGCCCCACCCCAGACACTGGGCCAGAAAGCTCCCATGAGGGCTCCTAGCTGCACCCAGGCCTCCCCAGGCCACACTGAATGGGACACAGGGCCTCTGTACTGAGTACAACCCACCATCTGCCACCATCAGTTCTCCACATTTGCCAGGGATGTGGGGCCAGCCCCAGAGCTGGGGTGCTCCTGGCCAGTGAAGGGCTGTCTCCTGTCTCCTCTGGTTGGCCTCAAGCAAGGGAAGGATAGGAGCAGAGAGCTGTCAGCTGGCCTTCCTCAACCTCCTGATGCCAGGCCTGCCTGCCTTGGCTTACCCAAGGAGAACTGGTGGAGCTGGCTGCTGAGGTGGTGGGGGGCAGGAGCCGCCCTGTCAGCTGGATCCCACTCCTGGGGCTGTGACAGCCACCAACCCCCAGGCAGTGTGAGCAGGGTTGCCCAAGGTAGGGCAGGCAAGTGGTGACTGTAGGATACCCAAGTAGCTTTCCTGTGCTGGCGCTGGGGGAAGGAGCCAGGAGGGCATGGCCAGGTTTCCACCCTATGGGAAGGGCAGCTAGGAGACATAAGAGGACCCTAAAGGCCTGGGAGGGAGGCCCAGGAGGAACTCCTTTCCCACCCCAGAGACCCACTGCAGCCCGAGGACGGGTGCCCACAGTCAAGAAGCACAATGCCATGGAAGCACCTCGGGGTAGGTGTGTGGCTGGCCACAGGGACAGCTGGGCCTTCCCTCAAAAATGTCCCCTTCTCCTTTCAGACTCATGTTCCTGTCCAATCCCCTTCCCCACACCTGCCAAACACACATCTTCTCCCAAACACATGAAACGTCCAAAATTGGCCTATCCATAGAGACAAGAAGTAAATTAGACACTACCAGGGGCTGGGGGAGGGGCGTGGGGAGTGACTGCTAATGGCCATATGGTCTTTTGGGGCAATGAAAATGTTCTGAACTAGATAAAGGTGATGACTGCATGACATTATGAAGGCACTGAATGCCACTGAATTATATAGTTTAAAATGGTCAAAATGATGAATTTTATGCTATATAAATTTTATCTCAATCAAAATGGTTTTAAACAAAACACACTTTCATACAATACTGGTGCTCCAGCTCTGACATGTGCCTTTCTTTATTGTAAAAGAAAAAAGTGGTCAATGACAGTGCTGGGGCGGGGGCTGGGCAGCTCCTGTCCTCCCAGCGTGCCCAACCTGGGCGGAGGGCAGTGGGCACCTGGGGTCCCAGAGACACCACAGGCTGTGCTGGGAGAGCCGAAGAGCCGAGGCTGCGCTGGGTCCCGGATGCTCAGCGGATCTGGCGCGAGGACACAGGAGGTACGGGGAACAGAAGGAAGCACAGGCATGAGCTACAGCCCTCTGAGAGCCAGGCTGGTCCCCACCCTACCTTGAGCTGCCCAGCCTGGCATCAAGGCCACCTCAGAGGAGCATCCTTCTCACCGTATACTTGTCCCACTTCTTCTCAGGGTCATAGGGCTCCCAGCGGCTAGCAGGGAAGATGTGCTTATTCTTCTCATACCAGCTCCTCAGCACCACCTTGCCTGCGTGGGACTGAGGAAGAGAGAAGGCCCAGTACCCCCACTCAGGCCCTCCTGCCAGCCCCCGCCCTGACTTCTCCTCCACAGCCCAGACACACCTGCCCTGTTGGGCTCAGAGCACCACCATACCTCATCCTTCTCTACAGTGGCGTCACTGAGCAGCCGCACGTCATCATGCACATCGAAGTTAAAGAGTGGTCCTGTGGGAGGAAGCAGACATCCCAATGTCACACTGCTGCCCCTACAATATCAGGGGCAAGCTGCTGTAGAGGAAGCTGAGCCAGGAGCACTCACCACTCTTCCCTCTCGCCTTGGTGACGATGAAGTCATAGAAGCTGTGATGCTAGGAGCCAAGGGCAGGAAAGCAATGGCTTGATGGCTCATCTCAGCCTGTCCCACCCCCTGTCCACAGGCTGGATGCTGCACCCACCAGCCCAAGCCAAAGAGCCGAGAGCAGAGTGGGGACTCTTCTGCTGAAGCTCAGAGTTGCAGCACCCACTGTGTGACCCAGGGCTGAAGGGACTCACATGGGGGATGATCAAATCCTCCTTGATATACATGAGCTGCTCCACCCCTGCTGACCTGAGGGAGAAAGGCAGGAGGGTCTGGACGGACAGACAGCATCCTCTGCTCAGGAATGGAGGAAGCTGCCTGCCAAGGAGAGCCTGTAGTCTGGTAAGCCCAGGACTAGCGCCCCACTGTCCTCCACCTTTGGGCTCAGGAGCAAGGCAGGTGTTCCCTCCTAAGTGCTCTCCAGTGGGAGGGAGGGAAGAGCAGTCTGATCCTCCTCTCGGGAGCAGAGTGCCCAGCACGCCACTTTGCCATGTGGGAACAGTCATCCCGGGTACCCAGTGCCCAGGCTGGGACAGTAGGCACCACACACACACACACGCACACGCACACATGCACATGCCCTCACCTGAGCTCACTGAAGTCTTTACGAAGGATCTCAAGTGCTTTCTGCAGGAACTGCTGCATCGTGTTGCCCTTTTTCATCTGCATGGGTGGCCCGAGAGCCAGCATCCAGAAAATGAGGAGTTGGGAAGGGAAGACAGTGTGGAGAAGGTCTCTTAAGAAGGCAGAAACTGCAGAGCCTGCTAGAGCTCTGAAGGGGGCTGGGCCCTCTATCCTGCCACCCTCAGGGCTTCCAAAGTCAGGATTTCAGTTCCTCCCCACTGGACCTAAGGGCCCCGCACTGCCTACCTTGACGGTCCGCCGGTGCCCAGAGCCATCCCAGTAGCTGAAGGTGATTTCAATCTCCTCACCTGCAAAGCAGAGTCACCTCTTAGTCTCCACACCCAGCTGTCCCCGTCCCACCGAGAGCTGCCTTGGGCCTCAGCATACTGCCCAGGGGACTGTGGGCAGGAGGCCAGCTTGGCCCCAGTGCCAGGCCACGTGCATCCAGCTCTGTGAGCACTCACTTTTGATCTTCTCCTGCTTGGCTTCCCACTCCTGCCGCAGCTCTTCCCGGAGCCGATTCTCCTCCTCCTGGGAGAGGAAATAGGTACAGGAGTTAGGCCAGGGTTGCTCAGGGCGTGCAGTGAGAGCCTCCCCTAGGCCAGGGTCAGGCCAGGCAGCCTTTACCTCCCGGTCTCGGTCAGGCAAAAAGCTTGTGTCCACATCTGGGTTCTTCCCCAATTTCCTCTTCTTTGTGGTGATCTCTGGAACAAAAGGATGCAAAGAATGTCTCAGCATTATCATGAAAATGGTTTCAATCTCTCAGACTGCCCCCTCCAGGGTCCCTGGAACATACTTTGAGAACCACTGACCCAGAAGACAAGCCCAAACTCTTCAGCTTGATGCTCTAGGGCAGGAGTTCTAGAGCCCGGTTGCACATTAGAATCCCAGGGAGAGCTTTAAAAAAATTGATGCTGGGGTCCCATTGCTGGGCCCCCTAAAATGAGACCTTAGAAGGGAAGGAAGAGCCCACCATGCAGTGTTTTGTAAAAGCCCTAGTGACACACAGCAAGGCTGACAAGCTTCCCCTCCAAGCCTGCACTGGCCACGTAGCTAGTGCAACATGCCACAATGATAATGTTTTGAATGTGTCAGGTTAAATACATGTGCCACTAAAGTGACAGCTGTTTCTTCTTATGTGCTTTACTGTGGCCCCTGGAACACTCAAAATGAAAATTGCAGGTGGCTGGCAGGCTCTTCTTTCTGACAGTCCAATCACTCCCCTAAAGCCATCACACCCAGCCTGTGGCCACAGCCATGCAGTGCCAACCCCTAGCCTCGATCCCCTCCCACCACTGTTCCCTGGGCATCATGATTCCTAAAACAGCCTAGGCCTCCCTGCCCTCCCCTGAGGCCTAGGACACAACTTGCTCCAAATCCGCCAATGTGTCCACCCTTCCCTGCTCTCTTTTGGTATGCACTGCATCTTTTGACTTATACACTCTCCCCACCCTCTCCCATCTTTCTGGCTAATGAAATGTCCCTTTTTAAGGCTCAACTGTCCCCTCATGTGACACCTTCCCTGAGTCCTGGACTAGCCCCCTGGACCCTGAACAAAGCAGCAACCCTGAGTGTCCTGAGTGCATGTTGACCCATGTGACATCTACTAGGAGAGGGACAACACCCTGTGTGCTTCTGGTCAGGCACAGCACAGGTATGTGGTATGTGGGGTGCCAGGCTGGCCTTTCTGAGTTGTCCCTGACAGCCCCTCCTTCTCACAGCTGAGACCTACAGTGTCCAACTAGTAGCACTGGATTTCTGTGGCTGTGTAAGTTTATGTTGAAACTAATCAAACAGAATTAACAATCTAGTACCCCAGCCACATGAGCCACGTGACAAATGCTCAGTGGCTACCACATTGGGCAGTGTAAACACAAACATTTTCATCATCATAGCAAGTTCAGCCAGCCAGCCTGGTCTAGACTATCTTCTCTCCTTTTTGGTTTATCCTACATGGTACCGCTAAAGGGTAGCTTCTGGAACCTTCCTGACTAGGCACCAGACTTGCCCTAACAGCCTCTCCCACTGGTGGCCCCTGCCCAGGGGCCACAGGCCCACTCAAGCCTGGCCTCACCTTCCTTTTCCAGCTCCTCCTCATACATGGCTACCTCCTCCTCCTCCTCGCCTCCCTCTTCTTCCCCCTCCAGGGTGAAGGACAGGCTAGAGATCTTTCGCTTTGCCTCCTTCTTACGCTCCTTCTCTCGAAGTTTCTCCAGCTTCCTATTGGAACACAGATGACTGTCATGCCCCACGCCCCACCCTCAGGTCCCTTCCCTGACCCAAAGCCACCCGTGCACTCAGTGTGGGGGCCACTGAGTGCGGGCTGGGCATCCCCAGCACCCTAGAGGGTTTCTACCGCCTGGGTCACTTCAAACTCACGGGCAGGGCTCTGATTATGATACAGCAGGCACAGCAGGCCACAGGGGTCATGGGATGGAGAGGAATGGCACCCAGTGAAAGGAAAGGGCCCAGACAGGACTCACTGCCTTCCCAGAGGAACAGAAAGGGGACGAACAAACCAGAGGTAAGACTTTAGCGTGGGCCCAAAAAGGCGGGGGAGAGAGAAATACAAATCCCAAACTACACACTACATCTGTTCCCAAAGCAGGAAATAGGGTCCCCCTGCAAGGTACAAAAACAGCCTGGGCCGCCCCCAGGAGCCCTCGGGGAACTAGCTCCACTTGAGCCCACTGGTGAGAAGACCCACAGCTGCAGCTCCTTGGACTGCTCCTTCTTGGCCAGCTGCTTCTCCCGTTCCTTCACCAGCGCCTCCTGCTTGGCCTTCATGTCATTCAGGGTCACGAGACCTGGGAAGCAAGGAGATGTGAGAGGAAGGGTCACTCACCCAGGGCCAGTGAAGGAGTGGACCCGGGCTGGGAGAGGGTGGCACGCGTGCCCCGCTCACCCACGGTGCTGGACTTGAGCTCGGCCTCCACGGCATCATAGTGTGCAGAGAACTTCTTATCAATGTTGGATTTCATTATGTTCTCCTGCAGGGGAGCAGGGCAGCAATGAGGATGGGAGCAGCAACCTGAGTTCTAGTCCTAGGTCTGCCTCTGGACTCACTACAATGTGACCCTGGAAAAGACATGTCCCCTTTCCTTTGTCGATGCAAGGTTCCATGAGGCTGGGAGGGGCTCTTCCAGTGCCCTGGGAGCCAAATGAGGTCATTTCCCTTTGATCCTTTGAGTGCTCTGGCCCCTCCAGATCTCCTGCTGGGGACCTCAGCCCTCTCAGTGTCCTGGAGCCACAGGCCCTACTGACCTCTGGTCTTTCCATGCTCAGTCTTTTATTTTTTTTTTTTATTTTTTATTTTCTTTTTTTTTTTTTTTTATTCGTGGACGAGGTTCTGGGGCCCCAAGAGCGGGGCCCCGGAAGTCGCCCTCAGTCTTTTATTTTTGAGACAGAGCCTTGCTCTGTTGCCTGGGCTACAGTGCTATGGCATCAGCCTAGCTCACAGCAACCTCAAACTCCTGGGCTCAAGCAATCCTTCTGCCTCAGCCTCCCGAGTAGCTGGGACTATGGGCATGCGCCACCATGCCCAGCTAATTTTTTCTATATAAATTTTTAGTTGGTCAATGAATTTCTTTCTATTTTTAGTGGATACAGGGTCTCGCTCTTGCTCAGGCTGGTCTCGAACTCCTGACCTTGAATGATCCGCCTGCCTTGGCCTCCCAGAGTTGCTAGGATTACAGGCGTGAGCCACCAGGCCCAGCCTCCAGGCTCAGTCTTTAAGATGAAGCTCCAGAGACCCAAGCCAAGGAGTGTCAGGGGAGGGCAAAGAAGTAAAGTGTCTGAGGGACCAGCCCCTCCCTGAGCAGTTTTCCTCCCCTGCAGTGCCAGATGTGGCCAACAACTTCCCATGAAGTTCCTCTCTTCAGCCCTGGTCTCAGCCCACTTGGTACCACACAGATCCTTCTCTGACTGCTGGGCCCCAAGGGAGGTGGCCAGCAGTGAAACATACCTTCAGCTTGCCAGAGAGTCCACACTGAGACGGTGGGGCCAGGGCAGGGGAGTGACCTGAGGCTGCAGGGCCTCAGTGTGGAGGCTGCTTCCTTGGGCTGGCTTCTGCACTTAGCTGGGGTAGCAGCCTGCTCTGCCCTCCAGCCCTGAGTCCCAGCTTTTCTGCTGAGTCTCCCTCAGTGGCTCAAGCTGAGATCCTCATCCTCCATCCCTGACTGCCCGTCATCACAGGCCCCTCACCAGAGCGCTGGGCGAACTGCCTGCATCCCAGAGGCCTGGGTCTGCCAGTGTCACAGGAGCAGAGGCTGTGGACTGAGCCTAGGCACGGGTGCACCGGCCAGGCCTGCTTGGGCCTCCCAGTGCCTCCCCTGCGGGGAGAGCCTGCCCTTCCCAGTAGCACTGGATCCGGGCAGAGGACTGGCGCTGAGGGCTCAGGGGCCCAGGAGGGGCCCAGGAGGGCCCGCCCCACCCCATTGTCACCAAGAGAAACACTAACTGTAGCTCCCTCCTGCCGGAGCTTTATCACAAACTAGAGGTCTAAGATTCTGAGACGGCTCGATCCTGTGGAGGGGGCGGTCGCCGGCTTGCTTCTATCCCAGGCTTGAGGGCAGCAAGCAAGGTTCCCGCCCCCGGATCGCAGCCCGCGCTCAGAGCCAGCAGCCCAGGATCGCCCAGGGCCGGAGTGTCGCGCCGCGCCGTGCCGCCAGGGGGCCCGCTTGCGCGCATGCTCCGAGGCACCCCGGGCCGGCCCGCACCTCCGCGATCCGCTGCTTCATCTGCTCCATCTGCTCGCGCTGCTTCTCCCGTTTCTTCATCAGGTGCATGGCGCGGCCTGCCTCACTCGCGGCGCCCTTGTACTGAGCCATGGCGGCGGCGGCGACAGCAACTGTGGCCCAGCTGAGTCGCGGCAGCAGGAGCGGCGGTGGCCGTGCAGTCCGCTGACGCCCGCGTCGTGACGTCAGCCGCCAGGAGACGCATGGGCGCCCGCCCCGCCCCAGCTGTCTCGGGCGTGGCCGCCTCCCGCCCCGCCCCTCCGGCTCCAGGTACCCTGCGTAGACTCGCGTCCCGCCCCCCTCTGCCTGTCCCTTAGTGACCCGGGAGGCTGCGTCCCCTAGTCCCCTGCGCTTCCTTGACGTTAGTCCGACCGAGGCGGGGCCTCCAGTCCCTCTCCTCCCTCCTCTCGACCCCAAGGCTGGGACCACCTCTTCCACTTCTTTGATGTTGACCCCAGACCTAAGCTAGACCCCTTGGTCCCTAGGCTTCCTCCCTGCCTGAGGCCAGGCCCCGGTTCCCAGGCTATCTCCTCGACTTATATCCCCGTGCCCCCCCCACTTCAACTTTGGCCCCCATACAAGGCTAGGCCCGGGTACCCTCTGCCTCCTCAATTTTGACCCAGAAGCTAGGACCCCAGCCCCCTCCCTTCCTTGATGCCTAACTCCCGGGCCCTCGGCATGCATTGACCATTGAGAGTTGCAGTCCTGGTGCCAGCATCAACTCACTGGGTGAAGAATGCCACCTTTTACAGTCAGGAAGTGGCCAAGTGAAAGTCCCAACACAGGGAGCCAAAGCCCTGCCAAGTACCCAAATTTTGGGAAATAAAGATCCAGTTCAGTTTCAACAGTTTTATTGGGATGTTTTGTTTTCTGTGGAGTACACTAGAGATTTAGGAAGGGGACACATTCACTTTGCGAGATAAGAGTTTCCCACCACTAAAAGGCTTGGGACGGGGCACACTGGGTCGGGATCCATTTCCCACCTCTTTCTGCTATGCTCACACTTCTTTTCCCTCTCAGCCAGTACCACATAACAGAAACACAAAGACAGAAGCAAAACAACAAGAGCAACCTCGGATGGGGCCACACCCAAGCCTTCACCCCTCCCCAGGCTGGGCCAGGGCTGGGAAAGGCAGGGCAGCTCACTCTACAGCCCCCAGGCCACACCTGAAGGCTGTGGGCTCAGACAGAGTGGGCCTAAATTAATAAATTAGAATAAATTAGGGGGAGGAATGCAACTTTGTGCTGGGAGGGCCCCTTCTCTCCAACACACAAGAGAGTTGGTGGGGGGAGGCAGGGGGCATCTCCAAAGGCCACTACAGTGGGGGTAAGAGTGGTGGGGGCAGAAGTCAGCTTTTCTTCCACATCTTTTCCAAACAGAGCAGAAGAATTAGGGGTGGGGGGAAGAGACACACACAATGAGAAGAACCGTCTTTTCCTAGGATAAGCAAGGGCCAAGAAAGAGGATGCTAACCAACCCCCCATCTCCCAAACCATCGCTAAGATTAAGAATTTGGTCAGTGAATCAATGAGGTGGGTGATGGGAATGTGGTGGGGGAAGCAAAGGAGGCTGGAAATGAGTGTCCAGCCACACATCTCCCCAGCCCTCGAGCAGAACAGACACAGGTGGCAGGAGGGCAGCAGGGGCTGGGGCAGGGGCAGCAATCACTGGTCAGCTTCTCCGAAGACATCATTCTGTTTGCGCTTCATGTTCTCAAAGTCAAAGGCAGAGCCAGCCATACGTTTGTAGATGTCTTTGATGTCATTGCAGGTTGTCTCAAAGTGTGTGGTGGCATCATAGGAGCACGAACAGAACACCTGAAAACAGCCAAAGCCCAGGGCGTAGGGTGAGTCGGGCAGGGGCCCTGGGTGGGCATCCAGGAGCTGGGGGCAGGAGAGCCTGCTTACCTGGCTTTCGGAACCATCATCAATGGGCTCATACAAGTCACTGATAGCCACAAACCTGAGGAGCAGATGGAGGAGAGGGGACAGGCCTCACAATGGGCCTTGCCCTTTCTGGGCTGCCAACCCCCTTTCCCCATGGGGCTCAGCCCAGCCCCTCACTTCTGATCAATAGGCTCCAGCAGCTCCAGGGCCGGCTCCACCTCCTTCTCGGGCTCCGTGGTCTCCACCGTGGTGCTGGCAATGGCGATGTACTTGCCCTGCGCAGCCACGTTGTGCGCATAGGAGATCATGCACACGTAGATGTCTAGCCACAGGAAGCACCATGTTAATGCAGACCAGAGGCACCAGCCGCACAGAGAGGGCTTCTGGGTGCTGGGCACAGTTCTGACCTGCCTGCCCGTCTGCAGCCTCATAAAGCAGGCAGCATCCAAGACGTCACCCTCATGGAGGAGAAGGGTCCAAGAAACCCAAACCCTAGGGCCCCAAGTCGTGACTGCAATCATGACTTGGGGGGATCGGGCAGGGCACCCTGAGACTGACAGGGAGAGGCAGAGCCACCCCAGCAAGCACATACAAGAGGAAGTGGCCACCTACCTGACTTCCTGTTGACCTGGTTCTGGGGGATGATGATTTGGCAGGAGTTGGCATCATTGGTGTTCTTGATGGGGTGGCTAAGGATGCAGATGATGCGGATAACCTGGCCAGCCTTCCGCACACGGTCTGGGATGTAGCTGGGGTCACAGATTAGCTGCTTGCAGCGGGCCACCTGTGAAGGCACCAGAAGGCCTTGCTCCTGTCGGATCACTCTTTTATGTAGCCATGGGGCTGGGCCCACAGTGAGGACAGGCAGCTCTGACAGGGTGCTTCTCTGATCTGTCACCACTGTAGCACATGGTCCCACCCTACAGCTCAGGGAGGCGGGCCCCAACACACAGGGCTGGGAAACCCCCCTGCTGAGGCACTGTGACCAAGAACACTTTCTGGACCACAGGCATAGCACATGGCTTTTAGAGAGACTTCTTGACAACAGCCATGGCTCCACAGACTTCTCTTAGACCCTGGTTCCCAGCTCCAAGGCCTTCAGAGTCAATCTCACTGGGAACAGAGCCCCTAAGTGGCCAGGCCCCACCCCAGCCATGGTGACTGCACTGCATGGGGAAAGCTCACCTCTCCCTCAGACTTCACGCCCACCACCTTGCCATTCTCCATGATGATATCGTCCACAGGCTTATTAAGCATGTATGTCCCCCCATAGATGGCACTCAATCTGTGGGGAGGAGGGCGATGGTGAAGGTCCCCACCCAGGAGAAATGGGCACCAATTTTAGCAAACCCCCACAGCATGGTGCAGAGAAGGCTGCCCTAGGCAGGCAGGAGTCCAGAGACCCAGTATCCATCCCAGCTCTATCACTACTGTGAGCTCTGCTCCCTCTCAGGATGCTCCTTCTTCTCTGGAGCTTCTACTCAGAATATTCTGCCAAGGGCTAACCTGAATGTGGCATGAAGGAACAGTTCCACACAGAAATTGCCTGGGGAGGGTGAAATGAAGGACTCTCTGGAGAAGGCCCTGCTCCCAGCTAAGCCCTGACTCAAGGTTCTGGGGGCTGGGGGCCCGGGGCCCAGTCCTGGTGTTGCCAGGAACTGAGCAGACCACATCTGCTAACCCCAGCTTTTTTGACTCTGCACTTCAGCGCATCGGGGCTGTACCCCATCACCCAAGGATGGAGTGAAATAAATGAAGATCACAGATTGGAAAGTGTGAAATGCTATGCAAATGCTCAAGGGAGCCATTTCCATTTTGGGCCTCAGTCCAAATTAGTCAGTAATGCCAACTCAAAAAAGCTATATCCTCACCTTGCAAAGCCCTGGGGCAGCTCACCCAGGCCATAGAGGGGGTATAAATATGGGCTCTTGCCATATCGAGCCAGGGACTCGCTGTACAACTTGATGCGGTTAATGGTCTCAAGACAGGGCTGGTCCAGGTAGCTGGAGGGACAGAGGTAAAGGGAGACACTCCAACAGCAGCATCCCTGGCTCACCCCCACCCAGGCACCAGGCCAGTTTTCCCACCACCCTGAATGGCCTGAGGAGGATGTGAGTCAAATGCAGAGGAGATACGCGGTGTGGGCAAGGGAGCAGCAGGCAGGTGTGGGGAGGGCAGGGGACAGGCCAGGTGAGGAGGCTGCCGCCACACCAGCTTCCCCTCACTCATCAGTGCGGTAGAGTGCCAGGGCGTGGCCAGTGAAATCGATGACATCTTGGCCCAGGTCAAACTTCCGATAGACATCACGCATGCTGGTAGTCTGGGGGTCAACACCCTCAAAGGTCTTGGGGTCGTTCTCATCGAAGTTTGCCACAAACACCAAGAACTTGCGGAAGCGCCGTTTCTCAAACATGCCCATCAGATCTGAGGAAGGTGGTGTGAGGAGACCCTTCGCACCAGTGGAACACAAAACTCTCCTTCCCAGCAGGGCAGGCCAAAGAAAGCAGGCGCCCTGGGTCCCGGCTGAGCCTTCATGTAACCTGAAGTTAACCCCTCTATCCTCTTGGCCTCGGTTTCCCCACCTGTATGAAGAGGGGGTTGGGCTGGACAAACTCTGAGGTCCCTCCTGGTTCTGACACTCTGGGATGTCTTGGGGGTCCAGTGGAGCCCCTGCAAAAGGCTGAAGTCTTTCAAAAAGGAGGCCCCTCCCCATCCCCGCTATGTGTGGACTTTCCTCCTGGCACCCAGCGGTAAAGTGCTACGGTCCTATGTGAGGAATGTGACTTTGGGCAAGGGAGTACACTACTCTGGATGGCTTCCTTGCCCCTTATCCTGAGAAAAGTCTGCTTCCCTCCACCCCACTATTCTCTGGCTCAGGGGACCCACACTCACTGGAAGCCAAGGCCTCGGTCTCAGTGGATGGCACTTTGTAGATCTTGCCCCCCTTGTAGACAAAGCTGCCCTCTACCACCTTGAAGTCCAGGTAGCGAGTCACCTCTGTATACAGTAGCATCTTTACCAGCTGCCCTGTGGGGGAGTGGGGGTGATATCAGCACAGCTCGCTCCAAAAGAACTAGCTGATCTGGCTGCCCCTTCTCTGGAGCCTTACTGTCCTCTGGTCTTCCCAATCACTCCCCGCAATCCCTCCTTCATCTCCCTCACCATTGGCCATGAGGAATTTGGGGATCAGGTCAACGTTCCAGTCTCGGCCCCGGCCCATTGACTCAGGGGGGCCCTCCAGCAGCTGAAAACGTTTATACAGCTGTAAGCAAAAAGGAGAGAAAAAAACATGCCTCAAGGACTACCCCTCCCTCCCTCCTCTACCCTTCTTCCCCCCAAAAATGGGGAGCTGCTTCAACCTTATGCCCCTATGTGAGAGGTTACAGGGATGGGCCCGGGCAGCCTCACCTCCTCCAGGGGTGTGATGGAGGAGCTCTCGCCCCCATAGTAGGGGTTCCGGTCCATGTGCAGCACCTTCTTCCCGTTCACAGACATGATGCCTGACAGGATGCATTCCTGGGGGAGGGGTGACATTTGCTGCACTCCCACCTGCCCACGTCCCCACCAGCAGCCATGATCTGTTCCTTGCAGCAAACCTGCCCCAATGGACAGCTCCTTCCACCCCCAGCTGGTCCCCTTGTCTAAAATTGGGGGTGATGGCTTCCTGTGATCAAAATCTCCTTTGTAACCTTGCTAGACAAAGAAGTGAACAAGGAGAGAGAAATAACATAGGATTTGAGGGAGGCAGAGCATCCAGTGCCAACATGCCAAGAAAGTCATCTATCTCCGTATAGTGCACAAAAAGGCAGACAAGACACAATGAGCCATAGAGGAGACCCAGCTATGTGGCAAAGGCACCCAAAAGGGAAGCTAAGAAAGGTTTAGCACAGTCCTTGAAATCGCACGCCCCACCCTGGGGTACTCTTTCTTCAAACATCAGGAGCCCCTGACTCTGAGCCTTTGCCACCATGTCCATGGGAGGGGCGTCTGGGCCCAGACTGAGGAAGCGTCTCTCAGGGGATTGGGCCAATGGGGTCTGGGGGAAAGAGGAAGATAAACACCCTCACAAGTCACTGTCACTAGCCCAAGAACAAAGACTGCGGATGCTACTCCGCCTGAGATCTCCATAGGAAACCAAGGGTGGGGTAGCGGGAATGTGGTCGCTGCCCCCACTGTTGCTTCTTCTGGAACATTCCCTGGGTGCTGTAGTCCCAGAAGAAGCTGGGAAGGCAGGATGAGGGCTCACCCTGGGGAAGCCCCCTACTCTAGGTCCTTGGACTTCATCCCTATCAGGATTAGGGCAAGATGGGAGGGGATGCTGGGCGGGCGATGAGTGGGGGCTGAGTAGGCGGGGTCGGGGGCATCGGGCCAAGTGAGGGTGAGTTTTCCAGCCCAGCACGCAGGGGTAGGGAAGATCGGAGGGGGCCGGGGGTCGGCACCCTGGTAGTCGAGGGGGCAGGCAGGAGGGGCGGGGCCCCTTCGGGAAGATGGAGCCATGGCAGCGAGTAGAGACAACGTCGCGGGGGGGACTGGTGGGGTGGGCACGGCGCTAGCTTTTTGGGGACCAGAGTGCAGAAGATGGCAGTGATGGGAGGATGGGGCCGGCGGCTGCATCATCGCAGGGGGTGGGGAGGGCATGATGCGGGGCCAAGGCCGCCAAAGACCGCACTTACGGTGAGGCCGGTCCCCAGCACGATCACATCGTATTCCTCGTCCATGGTCAGGCCTAGGTGCCAGCGCCCGTTCGGCTCCTCCTCCTCCTTCACCACAGCAGTCGCAGCCGACGCCTCCGCAGCCGCCGCAGTGGACCAAAGATGGCGACGTGCCGAACGTCGCCCGACCCCTCCGCCGCGTCAAAGAGTCCCGTCCCCTTCCAGCGCCCGGCTGCACCTGGCCAGGGCCACTGCCTCCCCGGCTCGTCTCCAGGGAGGGCTGCTAGGGCCCAGGCCCCAGCACCAGCGCGGCCCCACGGGCGACGCTGCTCGTCAAGGGCCAACAGAAGAGCGGGGCGGGGCGGACCAGCGGCCAGTGCTGCGGCTCAGGAGGGATCCGTGCGCGGGAGCCGTGCGCGCCCTGCCCCACCCCCCCAGGAGGCTCAGCGCGGTCCCGCGGTCCGGGCGCGCGCCGCTGCGGCAGCCGGGGGCGGCCCCTCTCACGACGCGAGGGTTATCAGTCACTGAGGCGCCAAAGCAAACCACCACTCTGCCCTGACCGCCCCCTCCTTACCCTAACCGGTTAGGGATCCACTTTGCTGAAGACCCTCCCGGCCTTCCAGATCCCGGAAATGCCTTCCCGCCTTCCCTACTTGGCCTGGCTGGGCTACATCCGGGCGCCTCTTCCCGCATCCCTCAGCCAAGCGCAGTCCTAATGCCCAGCCCAGAAATGAGTGACATGAGCGCCAACAGATTGCGATCCGTCTTTATTAGGAAGGAAACAACCAATTACCCCAGGCTTCTGCTAACATGCCAGAAACCCAGTGATCACACCCAGCCCACCTGTCGTGGTGGTCTCTTCCTTCTCAGGCCACATAGACAAACCCCAGCATACTGCTTACTGTTAGCACAACATCACAAAATCAATAACGACAGCCAACCAGGACAGAATCTAATTTCCACACCCACTAAACTCAGGGAACCTCAAGCTCATGGCTGCTGCAAGGAGCCTCATAAACCTTAGGGAAGGGGCATTTGCTACACAAAAGCACTATAAACAGCAAGAGATAATGGTAGAGAGACAAGAATAAATAAGGAAAAAAGGGGAGGAGAAATGGGACTGGAGAACTAATGTTCCCCACCCCTACAATGACTGAGCCTGGGAGATGTGTCTAATATCTATGCAGAATATGTACACCTTGTTGGTAGGGATGGAGGCAGCCCCAGGGAAGCCCCTCAGTAGGTTGAAGAGGGAGCAAGACTGGCTGAGGGAAGCCTGGGGTTCATGCTATGGTAGAAAGAGTTCGGGAAGCCCTTCCGTCCAGTGTGCCACAAGGTGGGAAAGTGACAACCTGGACACCATCATGCCGTCTATCTCGTCCCTCCCCCAACTTGCACAGGGTCACACAATCTGGGTCAAAGAGATCGTGGGGCCCTTGTGGTCATCAAAGCGATCCATGGTCTTGAGGCTGAGGATCATGTGCAGGCCATAGGTGAAGATGAAGAGCATGAACAGGGAGGTGAGCAGCCCCATCCAGATGCCCGGGGAGAAGAAACCGGCACAGTCACTGGCATAGGAAAACTGCTCACCCATCACGTTGAAAGCCTGGATCTGAAGGACACAAGGATGCAGGTCAGAAAGGACCATATGGCCCCACAGGTGGAAGTCCAACAAGGACTGGGATGGGGCAGCTGGGACTCTTCAGGTCTCTCTTCCCCTATCAGTGCTCTGCTACCACCAGCCTGGGCTCCCCCACCTGAATCTGGGACCCTCCCTGCTCCACACCTGGAAGTCCTGAAGAGTCAGCATCCAGAGTGAGGGCTGTGTGCGGGGCACAAGGAGACTGCCTTTCTTGCTTTCACTGCTGACATACTCGCAGTGGAAGGAGTAGATGCTGGGCCCTGTGACCTGGGAAGCATTGAAGTAGGCAACAGAGCCATTGCCATGGATTTCGAGGCGCTCCATGGTAAACCACTGCCGGGCAGACACTGGGTAGAAGCGGTTGGCCAGAATGAACCTGGAGAAGGCAGCAGGCGTGTAAAGTGAGCTGAGGAGACTGGAGCCACACCAGCCTACCCACATCTCAACTTCCCCGAAGACTCACTTGAATGTCACTGTAGTACCAAAGAGTTGTTCGTAGGTCAGCGAGAGCCTGCAAGGCCAGAGTAAAAGGCATGCTGTCAGGCTCTCAGAGAGCCTTGAGCATCTTAAAGAAAGAGCAAGTCCCTTGGGTCTGCTCCTACCTAAGCTGCCCCAGGTCCTTATAGCCACCTGAAGAGGCAGTGTCCCAACTTGACAAATAGAAAAACGGAGGATTGTCATATTGCAAGCAGGAACAGAGCTGAAAGCCAGCATCTAAGTCCCCAACCTCCAGCTTAGGGCTCCTTCCTCTGGTTACTCTGAGCTCATCTCCCCTCCTTTTTCTCCCTCTTGGAGTCGATGAAGTGCCTGGGATGGGCTTTGGGGGTGAGGGCAAACAGGAGGGCTTGGGAGCCCCAGAAACGGCTCAGGTAATCGGCCTGGTATTTGCCCACATGCAGTCCCAGAGAGGTTTTGCTCAAGGGGGAGGTGACAGGTTCCCAGGTAACTGAGGTATAACAACCAAGGTCCCAACCCAATACTGGCAAGCATGAGAAGGTGGAACTCTGAGCAATTCCCCCTCGAATAGCCCACTAGTGTCCCTACCTTGTGATGTGTTACCACCTGCATTTTCAGGGTGACCATTCCCCACCAAGACCAAAGCCATCCCTGCCCCTCATACATATACCTGATCCCAGCTCCCCACCTTGGCCCCAACCCACAGAGGCAGGAATAGAACCTGTGGCAGCATAGTCCTCCCTAACCTAATGCCCTTACCTGGCAATGGAGTCATTCCAGAAGGAGCCAGTCAGGTTGAGCTCCTGCACCCCAAAGGTGAGGGAGGTCAGGTCTTTCCACTGGCCGTTGTATGCTACAGAGAAGTTTTGGGCCCAGAACAGGATCCGGGGGATGGTGTCATTATAACTCACAGGGGGATGGGTCACAGATGATGCAGGCTGTTTTTGTAGCAGCTGGCGACCTATCCCCCCAGCCACCATGGCTACATCACGGGCCACCTGTGGAAATACCCAACAAGCCTCCTCTCAACAGCCCTGGGAGCAAGCCTGGATCCAACTGTCATGCCCTCCCTCCCCTCCCCACTGGGTACCCTGTCCACCATCTAAAAGTCCCAGTGGTCAGAGGGAGTCCTTCCTCCAGGAAGCTTTCCCTGCTGGCCCCTACGCCCTGATGATTCCCCTAGACCCTCAAACTTGGGATCACTTGGCTTTAGTGTCCGATTATGCCACCCATAAGGCTCACAGGGAAGATGGAAAGCTGCCCCCTGAAGGAGGAAGCGGGACTTGACTGCTCATCCTAGTCCTCTCCAGAGTCACCCCAAAGAGTTGAGAGTTGGACCCCCTCCACAGGGGTCCTCTGCCTGCTGCCTCCCCAATCCTGGGACTCCCAGGGGGCCCTGACTGTGGCATACACCTCCACCTCCAGGCAGACTCACCACACTGCCTCTCCCCACTGTTTCAGAGCTCCTGCCAGAAGGGCACATACCCTGGAAGGGCGGATTGCTGTGAGGGCCGCCGTATATGGGACATCTTCAGACTTGAGTGTGCTCAGCACCTGCCCGATGACCTCATCTGAAGGGTGATGGGGAGAGCAGATACCCAGGTCACCACACAGCCCACTTAAAGAAATGCCCCCCACCAAGAAACCTTCTAGACCTCTGGTCCCCAACCCCCAGGCCACAGACAGCTACCAGTCTATGGTCTGCTAAGACCCCTCATATCAAAACTCTATCAGAGGGGGGAGGGGGAAAGGGCATTTATTGAAACCTTAAAATCTGTACCCCCATAATATGCCGAAATAAAAAAAAAAAACTCTATCAGAGCTTGAGCCCAGGAGTTGGAGGTTGCTGTGACCTAAGCTGACACCACGGCACTCTAGCCCCAGCAACAGAGTGAGACTCTGCCTTAAAAAAAAAAAAAAAAAAACTCTATCAGAGGCCAGGTGTGGTGGTTAATGCCTATAATCCTAGCACTCTGGGAGGCCGAGGCAAGAAGGTCGCGCTCAAGGTCAGGAGTTTGAAAACCAGCCTGACCAAGAGTGAGACCCTGTCTCTACTAAAAATAGAAAGAAATTAATTGGACAACTAAAAATATATAGAAAAAATTAGCCGGGCATGGTAGCCCATGCCTGTAGTCCCAGCTCCTCAGGAGGCTGAGGCAGGAGGATCGCCTGAGCCAGGAGTTTGAGGTTGCTATGAGCTAGGCAGATGCCACGGCACTCTAGCCTGGGTAACAGAGTGAGACTCTGTCTCAAAAAAAAAAAAAAAAAAAACACAACACTATCAGAGGCTGGGCGCAGTGGCTCACACCTGTAATCCTAGCACTCTGGGAGACAGAGGCAGGAGGATCGGTCAAGGTCAGGAGTTTGAAACCAGCCTGAGCAAGAGTGAGACCTCATCTCTACTAAAAATACAAAGAAAATTAATTGGCCAACTAAAAATATACATAAAAATATTAGCCAGGCATGGTGGCGCATGCTTTATTTCTATTTTTATTACATTGTCACTTGCCACTCACTGATAGAGTTCTTAAAATTCTTCTTTCCTTTTTTTTTTTTTTTTCCTGAGACAGAGTCTCACTTTGTTGCCCAGGCTAGAGTGAGTGCCGTGGTGTCAGCCTAGCTCACAGCAACCTCAAACTCCTGGGCTCAAGCAATCCTCCTGCCTCAGCCTCCTGAGTAGCTGGGACTACAGGCATGTGCCACCATGCCCGGCTAATTTTTTCTATATATATTAGTTGGCCAATTAATTTCTTTCTATTTATAGTAGAGACAGGTCTCGCTCTTGCTCAGGCTGGTTTCGAACTCCTGACCTTGAGCAATCCACCCGCCTTGGCCTCCCAGAGTGCTAGGATTACAGGCGTGAGCCACTGCACCGGGCCGCTTTTTTTTTTTTTTTTTTTTTTTTTTTTTTTGAGACAGAGTCTCACTCTGTTGCCCAGGCTAGAGTGCCGTGGCATCAGCCTAGCTCACAGCAACCTCAAACTCCTGGGCTCAAGCAATCCTCCTGCCTCAGTCTTCTGCGTAGCTGGGACTACAGGCATGCACCACCATGCTCAGCTAATTTTTATATTTTTTTTTAGTAGTCCAGCTAATTTGTTTCTATTTTTAGTACAGACAGGGTCTCCCTCTTGCTCAGGCTGGTCTTGAACTCTTGAGCTCAAATAATCCACCAGCCTCGCCCTCCCAGAGTGCTAGAATTACAGGTGTGAGCCACCGTGCCCGGCCAAGAACAGCTATTTCTCATCCTACCCTCTCCCCCAGCCTCCTGGGACCACACTGTGGACCCAAGTCATCACCAAGTACTACCTAAGTGAAATGAGTAAATATGTATATAGAAAATGCCATATCCACCCACAGAAGGTTTCCAATTACCTTCCCATGGAAATGACTGTCCTTTATAGTAAAAAGCCCTCAGAATTGTTTTTTAAAATGTTGCTGGTCTACTAAATCCAAAAGTCTAGGACTCATGCTGTCTGAGGAGAAACTGGCTCCACAGGCTCCCGCACGGTAGGCCACATTTGCCAGCTGGACAGGGATGAGGCCCAGGAGCCAGCACAGATCCAGGAAGCAGGCAGGCTGTCCGGGAGTGAGGAGGGGCCTCGGAGCTGTCAGCCAGCTCTGTGGTCCCAGCCCAATGGCTAAATAAGGACATGCATCCTCCCTGACTCCACTCACCGTTGCCTGTGAGGACTTCCCTGGGTGCCATGAGGCCGGAGCTGTGGAAGAGAGAGTGTCAGAGCCCTCATGTGGCCTAAGCCAGCTCTCCACTGCCTACCCCCTTTCATCTGTACCTCCAACTTCTCCCTACTGGCCCCACTCGCAGAGCCCGCATGCACACTTAGCCAGGGCCATGCTTAGCCTTCCTGCACCTTTGCTTACCTAAGCACCTCTGCCTAGGATGTCGTACCTGTTCTCCCCGGGCTCTGCGAACAGGGCCTGGCTAGGCGAGGGGCTCCCCACAAGCAGGGCCCACACTTGCCTCATCTCTGGAGGCCTGCTAGGCCTGGCTCAGTGCTGGGCACCTACTTCTGAGTCCAAGCCTGGCAGGAGACCCTTCTTGCCTCTTCTGGGCATACAGGGAACCTTCTGGAAGGGCTTCAAGGTAGTTGGGAATACTGTCATCTTTGGCTAAACTGTACACCAGAGCCCATAGCCTCACTGTCCTCTTGGCCTCAAAGTTGGAGACTAGGCCATGTGGGCAGTACCTGGCTGTGTAGGGCAGGCGGATGAGCAGCAGGGCAGGGAGGCTGGCATTGAGTTTCAGCTCCTGCAAGGTGGCCAGGTCCACATGCAAGGGGCTGGCCCCGAGCTTCTCCTGCAGGTAAGTGGTCAGAGTGCTGACTGCATACCAGTCGACAGCAGGAAGCACCAGTGAAGAGGGGGCCAGGTCCAGGGCATTCTAGGGGCAGGGGAGAGGCAGAAGGTTGAGTTAGCCAGGGACCAGTGAGCCTGGGCTAGCCCCACAAACCTCTCTGGCAGCTCTCCTCTGGAAAGCCACATCTACACAGGGGTCTCCTCGTGTGTCAGAAAGAAAATGCCCCACACCCCCGGCCCCTGACACTCAGGCTCCAGGCCTTTCTACCCCCAAAGCCAGCATCTCTGGTTCCTAAGAGTACAGTTCTTCTTGTGCTAGGAGAGCAGGCACAGAACAGACACCATGGCCCGTGGCTGGAAAAGGACTCTTACCTCCAGATTAGAAAAGGCGCTGTCTTGCTTGTTTCCAAATACACCACCATATGCCGTGAAATCCTCAATGCTCAGCTAATAGGAATGCAGGGGAGACATCTCAGGAGGTTTGACAAGTAACAGGGACCAGGGCAGGGGGGAGTCACCTTCCCTGTGCATTCTCAGGGCCAGCAAAATCTCAGTTAGAGTCAGATTTGGTCTGGTGGAGTGGGATGTTGGGTGGGGGTGGAAGGCTGGCTTTCTTCTTTCCAGCACTCTCAAGGCAGGGTGAGAAGACACAGAAGGCAGTCACGGGGTCAAGAAGAGATCTGCAGGCAGCTGACTTGTGGTAAAACCACAGGAGTAGGAGTCAGCAGCCTCACCCCTGCAGACAAGAGGAACTGGGGAGGGAAGAGGGAAGCTGCAGGGAGGGAAGCTGTGGGGCACACCTTCTGGGAGGGAGTCAGAGAAAAGGAGAGCTGGCTATGTCTGGTCTGGACAGGACCCTTTTTAAGGAGTGTGACAATTCCCCACCCCACCTGTTTTTGGTGGACAGGGAGAGAAGTGAAGATCATAGAGTATGCTGGAGGAAGCACTGAAGTCTTTAGAGCTCTCAGGACCATAGTAACCCTGACCTTATCCCTACGACCGCATCTCTACAACCTACAGATATCCTGTAACTCCTGCCCTTCACCCCAACCCCAGCTTCCTCTGGCTTTTCCCAGTTAGGCCCAGAGAGAGATTTTGATCAGAGTCTCTTGCCTCACTCTGTTTAGTATACACACTTGCCCAGCCTCCCCTCCCTCTAAGCAGGAACCTTGACCTTGTTTGGCTGCCTGGGCTTTCAGTCTGAAAGCACTGGAAGCACTGCTGGGTCCTGTGGGCTTTCTTTAATCAAGAGGTCACACCACTCCCTGCTCCACAGAGCCCAAGGCATTCTTACACATTTCCAATTGCAACTGACCTCCTCCCTTCTGGCCACCTGCAGACCACCTCCTACATCCCCTACCCCTTTCTCTCACTCACTATGCTCCAGCCACACCAGTTCTTCCTTGAGCTCACCAACAGCACACTATACTCAGAGCCCCTGCACCTGCTGTTCCCCTGCCAGGAATGCCCTTCCCCCAGAGCCACATGGCTGCCTCCTTTCCTCCCTCCCCTGAGGTCTCTGCTCAGATATTACATCCTCAGTGAGGTCTTGCCTGATCACCACTATCTAAAACAGCATCCCCAGTCACTCTGTCCCCTCAGCCTGCTTCCTTCTTTAAAGACCACAGCACTGGCCGGGCGTGGTGGCTCACGCCTGTAATCCTAGCACTCTGGGAGGCCGAGGCGGGCGGATTGCTCGAGGTCAGGAGTTCGAAACCAGCCTGAGCAAGAGCAAGACCCCGTCTCTACTATAAATAGAAAGAAATTAATTGGCCAACTAATATATATATATATAAATTAGCCGGGCGTGGTGGCGCATGCCTGTAGTCCCAGCTACTCGGGAGGCTGAGGCAGAAGGATTGCTTGAGCCCAGGAGTTTGAGGTTGCTGTGAGCTAGGCTGACACCACGGCACTCACTCTAGCCTGGGCAACAAAGTGAAACTCTGTCTCAAAAAAAATAAATAAATAAATAAAAAAAATAAAGACCACAGCACTGACATTGCATCAAACACTGAGTATTTACCAATCACCCTCATAAGAATGTCAGCTTCCTCAGGTTGGGGCTTGGGTTACTCTGCTCACCACTATATCCCCAACACTTAACAAAACCTGGCACATCATAATAGGCACTCTGTATTTCGCAAAGGAATGAATGCCCTAAGACTGGGGGACCCTGGCTAGATGTTTTACATGGATTTCAAGAATTACTCCTCACAGCCCTCTGATGTAGGTGGTGTTAATATTTTCAAACTCCTGACCTTGAGCAATCTCCCGCCTCAGCCTCCCAGAGTGCTAGGATTACAGGCGTGAGCCACCGCGCCTGGCCAATGGTGTTATTATTTTACAGTGTAGAAACTATCATTCGGACTGGGCGTGGTGGCTCACACCTGTAATCCTAGCACTCTGGGAGGCTGAGGTGGGAGGATCACTCAAGGTCAGGAGTTTGAGACCAGCCTGAGCAAGAGCAAGACCCCATCTCTACTAAAAATAGAAAGAAATTAATTGGCCAACTAAAAATATATAGAAAAGGCCGGGCGCAGTGGCTCACGCCTGTAATCCTAGCTCTCTGGAAGGCCGAGGCGGGTGGATCGCTCAAGGTCAGGAGTTCGAAACCAGCCTGAGCAAGAGTGAGACCCCGTCTCTACTATAAATAGAAAGAAATTAATTGGCCAACTAATATATATAGAAAAAATTAGCCGGGCATGGTGGCGCATGCCTGTAGTCCCAGCTACTCGGAAGGCTGAGGCAGGAGGATTGCTTGAGCCCAGGAGTTTGAGGTTGCTGTGAGCTAGGCTGACACCACGCACTCACTCTAGCCTGGGCAACAAAGTGAGACTCTGTCTCAAAAATAAAAAAATTAAAAATATATATAATATTATATATATAGAAAAAAATTAGCTGGGCATGGTGGCACATGCCTGTAGTCCCAGCTACTTGGGAGCTGAGACAGGGATCCCTTGAGCAGAGTTGAGGTTGCTGTGAGCTAGGCTGATGCAACGGCACTCTAGCCTGGGCAACAGAGCGAGACTCTGACATACACACACACAAAAAAAAAAGATTAAAAAAAAAAAAAGAAGTTATCATTCACAAAGATTATTCCATGAATCCAAAGGCTGGTTTAATAGAACTGACTATATTATTTACCACCTCCTGGAAAGACTATGGGCCGCCACCACCTGTCCACACAGCAACTGAGTGAGACCACAAGGGGAATAAGCCATACAGGCCACCAAAGAGGGATAAGCAGAGGCTTGACAGCCTCCCAAACACCAATTCTATGCTGTCCTGGAATCTTCCCATGGTTTATTCCCCTGCTTTGGGGGAAGAGAGGTATAGATAGGACAGAAAACATTATGCTGATTAGGAGTACAAACTGGGGCAGGGAGAGGTCTGACAGACTCAGGCTGGAACCAATGCAGTGTCTATAAACTGTGAAATCTCAGTAAGTCATTGCATCTGTACAAACCTTTGTTTCCTTGGCAGTAAAACCAAGATAATGACATGAGATTAACATAGTACCTATGAAGTACTAAATAAGTGACCATTTTCCAATTATCCTTATTATGATCATTACAGTTAGAATTCCAACTCTTGTCACCCATCAGCTGTATGACCTTGGGCAAGCCACTTCTCCTCCTCCTGCATCAGTCTTCTTATATACAGACAATCCCCACCATACTAGAAGCAAGTCAGATAATATCTAAAGTTCTTGGGACTTAGTAGGCATCTGGCCTCAGACCCGTTGCTTCCTGCAATCAAATCGGTGCCATTTCTGCTGCTCTCACCATTCCCACTGAAGCTTCTCCAACAGGCCTTCCCAAGAGATGAGCCACACCTCCTTACAGTTGGGACAAGGTCACTGAAGCTTCCCTTAGGAAACGGGCGTCAGTGTCCTGGGGGGGGAGGGGGCCTGCCTGCCTCCTGATGACTGGAGAAGAGCTGGCTGGGGCAGGCGCACCTTGTCCTGCAGGAACAGCAGCACATTCCGGGGGCCCAGCTCCAGGGCGGGGTCTAAGTAGGTAGACAGCTGCAAGTCGCTGGTGATGTGGCCCTCGTGAGTGTCGGCCGCAGGAGCCCACAAGTCCCTGACAGGGGACAGAAAAGCTGATGTCAGGCCATGGGCTTGACGCGCGGGGACCGGACCTCTGTCGCCAGCCGACTCTCTGCGAGAGCCCCTAAACAAGGAACAATCCCCCTCTGGGCCTCCCCACCCCTTGCCGAGGACAGCCCTGGATTCGGGCGAGGGTGCCTCAGCCGCCACGGCGCGCAACGTAGCCCACAGTAGCCCGCTCACCTGTCACTCGACCACAGCACCAGCGGTACCTGCTGCTCCGCCACTACCACCGCTGCCACCAGCAGCCAGAATGCTGCGGCCCACTGTGTCCCCATCCGCACAGGAGAGTCCGCCGCCGCCATCATAGCCTCAGCCTCCACCGCCTCTGACGCTAAAGATCAGGTGACCGCAGCTCCCGCCCGAGCTCCGCCCCGCCCCTCCATTGGCCTGGGCGCAGGCGTGCTCCCCAGGGCCACAGGTAATTGGGCCAAGCGCATGCCACTCACAATTGCTCCTTTCACTGGTTGGCTGTACGTGTCCCCAGGCTCAAAGGCTCCGAATGGGAAAGGGGGCGGGGCTGAGCACCACCAGCTCCGACTGGACGCGACGGATCAAAAGAGCCCCACGCGCATGCGTTGGCCTGATCCCTCATTTACTTATTTATTTATTTTTGGTAGAGACGGAGTCTAGCTATGTTGCCCAGGCTAGTCTTGAACTCCTGGGCTCAACCGATCCTCCCGCCTCGGCCTCCTGAGTAGCTGGGACTACAGGCGCGCGCAACCGCGCTGGCCAATCTCTGTTTCAATCTCCTTTTTGCTTAAAATTGTGCAATTTTGCAAAATTAAGCAATTTTGCTTAAAATTGCTTAAAAAGTGTTTTTTTTCCTGTAGAAGGGCACTCTCTGATGCAGGTGACAGGAGAATGTAATCCCTTGAGAGTGAGAAGAGTACCCAGGATAGCATCCGGAGGAACACCAGCACTTACACTGGGCAAAGAGGAGGGTCCAGAAGGAAGATCTGAGGAGCATCCAAACAGAAGGGGGAAACCCCAGGGAGAAGCGTGGTTTCCAGGGCACCCTGACTAACAACATCAGTGTCAACTGCTGCCAAAAGGCAGATAAGATGAGAACAGGAAAATGTTTCTTGGACTTAGCAACAACTGGAGACTCTGGCAAGAGCGATCCCAATGTGAGGAAATGGAAACACGATATAGGATTGTCGTTTCCGTAAATTTGCCTTAAATGGAAGAGAGAGTGACAGCTAGAGTCAGAAAATGAGAGACACTGCCCCAAAGGAATTGGGAGACTTTTATCTTTTTCTGTGTCGTTTTTAATTTCTCAAACTGGTGATCATTACAAACAAACAAAATGATAACTATAACCAAATCTTTTTTTTTTTTTTTGAGTCAGAGTTTCACTCTGTTACCCGGGCTAGAGTACTGTGGCATCAGCCTAGCTCACAGCAGCCTCAAACTCCTGGGCTCAAGCAATCCTTCTGCCTCAGCCTCTCAAGTAGCTGGGACTACAGGTATGCACCACCATGCCTGGCTAATTTTTTCTATATATATATATTAGTTGGCCAATTAATTTCTTTCTATTTATAGTAGAGACGGGGTCTCGCTCTTGCTCAGGATGGTTTCGAACTCCTGACCTCGAGCAATCCGCCCACCTCGGCCTCCTAGAGTGCTAGGATTGTGGCTCACGCCTGTAAATTCAGAGTTCAAATCTTGAACTCTCCTTAGGGATATGTATGCTAATTAATTTAGGAGCAAATGGACTAATGTCTGCAACTTACTTTGAAATGCACCAAAATAAAATAGAAAAAGGATGGGATGTGATAGGTATGTGATAAAGCAAGGACACTAAAGTATCAATGGCAGAATCTAGTGGGTGGGTAGATATGAGTGAAGCTCATTGGCAGAATTCAATCTGTTTCCAGAGCCCTAGATGTGAAGAAGCAGTGGGGGGCCGGGCACGCCTGTAATCCTAGCACTCTGGGAGGCCAAGGCAGGAGGATCGCTCAAGGTTAGGAGTTCGAAACCAGCCTGAGCAAGAGTGAGACCCTGTCTCTACCAAAAATAGAAATAAATTAATTGGCCAACTAAAAATATATAGAAAAAATGAGCCGGGCATGGTGGCACATTCCTGTAGTCCCAGCTACTCGGGAGGCTGAGGCAGAAGGATTGTTTGAGCCCAGGAGTTTGAGGTTGCTGTGAGCTTGCTGACGACACGGCACTCTAGCCCAGGCAACAGAGTGAGTCTCTGTCTCAAAAAAAAGCAGTGGGAGCTTGGGGCTTCTCCTTTTCCAGCCACTGCAGTACAGAAAGGGAGGACTAAGTGCCAGGAGCCATTACACCACAGACATAATGACTCCAACCCAGCCTTATTGTCTGAACACAGCCCCATGTAGCTCATAGCCTACTGATCACCTCCACTTATTGGAGAAACTGGTTATAAGATTTTAGTCATGGCCGGGCACAGTGGTTCACGCCTGTAATCCTAGCTCTCTGGGAGGCCGAGGCGGGAGGATTGCTCAAGGTCAGGAGTTCAAAACCAGCCTGAGCAAGAGCAAGACCCTGTCTCCACTAAAAATAGAAAGAAATCAATTAGCCAACTAAAAATATATAGAAAAAATTAGCTGGGCATGGTGGCGCATACCTGTAGTCCCAGCTACTCGGGAGGCTGAGGCAGAAGGAACTGCCTCAAACTTAACAGTGCCCAACTTACCTCATCTCCTAGTCCCCCACTCAGAGATGCATAAGAGCCACCCTCAGCCACTATCTTCTTTGAGTATATCCTGTCAGGCCCACCTCCTTTTTCCAGCTCAATTGCCACCATCCTGGTCTGAACCACCTGTGACGATCATTACTATATATATATATATTTTTTTTTTGAGACAGTCTCGCTCTGTTGCCCAGTCTACAGTGCCATGGCATCAATCTAGCTCACAGCAACCTCAAACTCCTGGGCTCAAGCAATCCTTCTGCCTCAGCCTCCCGAGTAGCTGGGACTACAGGCATATGCCACTATGCGCAGCTAATTTTTTCTGTATATATTTTTACCTGGCCAATTAATTTCTTTCTATTTTCAGTAGAAATGGGGTCTTGCTCTTGCTCAGGCTGGTTTCGAACTCCTGACCTTGAGCCCCAAATGTGATCTTGCTGGCCAGCATTCTGTTGCTGAGATGCTTCTATCCTTAGGGGAGAAACTCACCTGCAGCTGCTTTTATTCTTCTCTGGGTTGCCAGTGGTCCTTGGAGTGGTGACCCTCAAGCCTTCCTGAAACACCTGCCATGGGCCAGACACTGAGTCGAATTCAGACTCTGCTCCACCACAGGTTCACCATCTAGTCTAGAGGAGACACAGGACAATGGGTCATGATACAGGGTGATGAATGTTCAAAAGGGGGAGACACAGGGCTGGGAGGGAGGTGGAGACAGGGCTGCCCATGATACTGTTTTGACTACAAGGTAACATCTAAATAGAATCATTCACCAAATGTTGACAGCACCAATGAGCACCTTCTGTCTGGGGGCTTCCTCTTTAGGGTAAAAGCATTTCTTCATTAAAACCCTCCCAGGCCCTCCTTATCATCCCATGGCTTCTTATATTGTTTTAATGTACTATTGGACACATACCAAAATATGTATAACATAAAAGGATCCTCATAGACCACTCTCCTGGACTTCACAGTCAGAGCCCTGCCAATTAATTCCTTGGCAGGAACCTGGGCCCCCCAATTGCATTTTCTTGCCTGCCTCCCGAGAATTGCTGTCCTGAATTTGTATAGATGGCATGTTCCTGCTTATAGTCCTCTGCAGCCTGCTTGTTCACCCAGCAGTTGATGTGGGTCCCTGTTCACGCATCCATTGTGTCAGCTTCATGTTCTAGTGTACGAGCCTACCACAGCAACTGGGTTTTTTCTCCTTTTGAGGGACACTAGCATGGTTCCCCTTGTTTTCCGTGTTGCACAATGCACAGTGTCAGATACTGTGGTAGGTACATCATTGTTCACAAGTACTCAGTCCCTCCTTCTCCTTAAGAGCCATGCTCCTAGCCTGTTGCTAGGCAGGAGACTAGAACTAGTAGTATCTGTGACCCAGGGATCAGGAGACCACCATGGCCACCGTGGGAGTCTTCCACACCTTGAAGTGACTCACTGGAACCCCCAAGTTCCTGTACTGCACACTCCCTGCCCCCTGACCTTTTTTAAAGAACCTTCTGTTGTGAAATATAACCCAAAGTACACAAAACAAAGATGTATAGTGCAATGACTTATCAAAGCAAACAGCCCCATGACATCACCCAGGTCGAGAATTTGAATGTCGACACCCCAAAAGCCCCTCTGTTTCCCCTCCTATCACTTCCCAAAGTGGCCATGAACTTCATTCATTTTTTTTTTTTTTGAGACAGTCTCACTCTGTTTCCTGGGCTAGAGTGCCGTGGCATCAGCCTAGCTCACAGCAACCTCAATCTCCTGGGCTCAAGCGATCCTCCTGCCTCAGCCTCCCTAGAAGCTGGGACTATAGGCATGCACCACCAAGCCCGGCTGATTTTTTCTATTTTTAGTAGAGACGGGGGTCTTACTCTTGCTCAAGCTGGTCTCGAACTCCTGAACTCAAATGATCGATCTGCCCGCCTTGGCCTCCCAGAGTGCTAGGATTACAGGTGTGAGCCATCACACCCGGCCCCATAAACTTCATTCTTATGCTAATCACTTTTGGGTTTTATAGTTTTACTAGTTAAGCATGGATCCTTAAATATGATGGTTCTCTTTTGTCTGTTTTGGGACTTAATATAAATGAAATTGTTCAGTATTCTATTTTACATCTAGATTCTTTGCTCTACATTGGGAGATGAATTCAAGTCATTACATATGGCAACATTGCTGCATAGTATTCCATTGAGCCCTTCTACTGTTGCCATTTGGGTGGCTTCCCATTTTGGCTATGATGGCTAGTGCTGCTGTGGATGATTATGTATATGGCTTTTGGTGCACATAGGTGCATTTCAATGGCTATATAACTAGATGTGGAATTGTTAGATCATAGAGTATATGTATTGGGTTGAATAGTGTCCCCCCAAAAGTCATGTCCACCTGGAACCTCAGAATGTAACCTTATTTGGAAATAAGGTCTTTGCAGATGTACTCAAGTTAAGATGAGGTCATACTGGATAATCAAATGACTAGTGTCTTTATAAGAGGAGAAAAAGAGACACAGAAACATACAGACAAGGAGGAGAACACGATATGAAGATGGAGGCAGAGACTGGAATGACACCTCTACAAACCAAGGAACACCAAGGATAGCTGGCAACCCCCGAAGGTAGGAAAGAGGCCTGGGGCTGATTCTCCCTCACAGCCTCCAGAAGAAACCAACCCTGCTGATAGCTCGATGTTGGACT